GATTGGTGCTTCCACGACAACACTCGACACATGACGAACTTTTGCGGATCCTTTGCTCCCGTGTAGACGCGAGAAAACGATACAAACCGAGACCACCTCGGATCAGCTTTGATCGTGTAAATGCACGAAAATGAAAAAAGAAATGCGGGACTGAAAACGGAAAATGGCCGTGCGTTGTCGTGTAAACGCAGCCTCAGAAGACATTAGGCCCAGTTGGGAATGTTCCTGTAAAATAAGAACATTACACTGTAATAGGAAGTGCATGTGCCTTGAATGTACAGTCCTGCTCAATGAAATCCAGTCGTGTCACTCAAGTTTGCGCCTTGCACCATTTCGCAGCCCAGTGTTCGCAGGTCTAGGGCTGCGCAACGCCCGGTACTTGAGCGACGCGACTTGATTTCAGGATTTCATTGGGCAGCACTGTACGAAGGCAATTCTCCCATACAAACAGCATGGTGCTGCTGACAAGATGAGATTCACTAAAGTGGACTTTCTTTAGAGGATGGCTCAGCTTTTGTATACTTCTGTAGCGTCGTTCCCATGCCATGAATTTAATGATGAAATTCGTTCGCGAAACCAAGAGGCTTACATCACCTTACTATTATTGTACCTTCACTTTCTTTTACCTTTTTTCATGCAGGATTCTGAAAGCTAGAGGAATCCCACTAGCCCCAAGCACTGAGCTCACGGCTACCAGCCACGAATCAGGCATGGTGTATCACGACATCTATATGTTTTGCATCCATTTGATTACTAGTACCGTAAAGTACCGCCAGAGTGCCCCACTATCTCGTCCTTTCGTGGTCGTATTGTGTAGGTGGTCTCCCGTCTGTAGGTCATACGACACGAACTTCGTACACATATTGCACGTTGTGCAGACAATCCGTACCTTCGAGCGGACACGAGCTCCACACAAAAACCTTCCTCTGACGTTAGTACACCATACACACTTCGTTGCATTCTGCCGTACGATTTTCCTTTCCCTGGACCCTGGCTGTAAAATCAAGGTGGGGCGCTCTCGCGAGACGGGGCGCTCTCGCGGTACTTTACGGTATACCATTCACACATAACATGATCTCGCTGTGCCCATGGTGCACTGTAGACTCAACATCCCGCTTTAAAGTAAGCTTCACAATCACACGTTAATGCTCCTAACATGTTATCTCGCACTTGATGGCATTACTCTATTTCTGCCTTTAGTATTAGACTCTACACTATCGCTCATCGCGTATTTGACTCTACTCTTTTTCACTGCTATTATTATGCTACGTTGATGCTCAATGTTAATATTGTGTGAGTCAAGTGTGCGCCCTGTGCCAGTTGACAGCCCAGTGTTCACAGCTGCACAACGTTCCACACGGCATTCACTCGCTTCATTGGACTTCATTGAGCACCACTGTAGTATTCTGTGTTGGTTGATCAGCCCTTCTAGTGACGACTCCTGTCTGTCACTCTATCTTGAAAGGGACTTTTCGGCTTTGTACTGCATGACCATTGTGTGTGGACTCACGAGTTACTTGGAGTACAATTCACTATAAACTTCACTATAGTAAAGCCTGCCCTGACAAGACGCCCTTGGTGCAGCGGAAACTGTCCTGATGTGACAGGACCCCGCTTGATCCAGGAATGCACTTTCGATCCACAGCACTTTGGTGCATGAAATTTTGTCCGGTAAATACAGGATTCCGCTTGGTACAGGGTCCGGCAAACACGGGTTTTACTGCAATCCAATTTCCCAATGCATACGTTTCATTGCATATGCTTCAATTGTATTTTGTGTGTACTTTGGGGGGGGGCTGGGAAAGTCTACGTTTTGTGAAGCCGCTGCGACCGGCGACAATTATGTACATGACATTGAGGAGATTATTTGAAAAATAATCCCCGCGGCGCGGACATATCCTGTTAGGCATATGCGGGCAGAATTCAGTACTTTTTCTGGTAAGTTTCATGCATGTTTGGTATGTGGATAAAGAAATGGAGCAGAATTCGAGGAATTGCCCGCCATAAGGTTTGTATGGTTCTGCCAATTTCACAGCTTTTCGAGCAGAATCTCCCACCTTTTCGAGCATTATCCGCACACCCCTATATCCTGTTTAGACGACACTTTCGGGTGATCAGCATGAACCGATGTGAACGGAACACTGAACATGGATATTACCAAGAGGGGTTATGTACTCTTGATATTACGGTGAAGCCTAACAATTTGTGGCATTTAACATACAGAAAATGATGCTGATTTTCATACATGTATTATAACATTATGGGAATATCGCAGTGAATCTTCAAAGCACTAGGTGGTCTGCACTCTACAATGTGACCTGTGCGATTATATCGTTCAATAATGTCTGCCTGTTCCGAGCCACCAATCGCACCAAAGACCATTACTTCTTCAAAGAATCGTCATCTACTGTTTACTGAGTGGTGTGCGGCCAGTCGCCAAGTACTCGTACCATACCAGTGCGAGTACTGATTACGATGATGCCGTTCACAAGGGAGTAGTAAAATACCTACTCCGCGCCCAGCTCACAATCGATCGATTTGGTTTCTTTTTTTTGTTGCGCGATCGATCGATTTTGCGCGATCGATCGATCGTTGCGCGATCTGTCGATCGACAGATCGCGCAGCAAAATCGATCGATGTGGCAGATCCATAGATGGCGCACAACATAATCATTGTGTACGTAGTATGAACTTTTTTTTTCTTCCGAAATTTCTGAAAACCTACGCGGGCGATGACGAGAAACATAGAAAAAACAAAGTGTGGCCTAATAATATTATGGTCAGGGAGTCGTAAAATACCGGGAGGCGACACGAGATGCACAACTCCCTGACTCCCTGATTATGGTATGATCAAATGTTACGTAATCGTTGGACTTGGATGATCGATGATGTATACAGAAAAATTAAAGGGGAAGTTAAGGCAAAAATTAAAATTTCACCAGTTGTAGTATTCGGGGTGCTGAGTCGAATGGTCTTGGTCCGAGAAAGCTGAGACGCTCCCTTCCTACTTGAATCCCAATCGAACTCGCGCACTTCCACCGAAACTGGGTGACTGCGCCCTACTAGATGGGGATTTGTATGCAAAATGTCACTAAAAGCGCCATTTCGTTCTTATAAAAGCACTGATGACCGCGATTGGCCCATATGTTGTAGTCTTTTGGACGCTGAGTCGACTGGTTTTGGTCCGAAAAGGCTGCGATGCAGCGTTCGCCCCTAATTCCCAATCGAACATGGTTGAAGAAGCGGTCACGTGCTCCTGCGTACACCAGTCACCTGGTCACCGTGCCTGCAGGGTACAACTTACAGCCTGTTTTGACCTTTTTTGGGTGCAGTCCTGTCACTCGAGTTGAACCTTGCCCTTGGGCTTGGTGTGAAAGTTGTCGCCTGCTGGCGTGGTGACCAGGTGATTTTGGCACCCAGGAGCACGTGACCGCTTCTTCAACCATGTTCGATTGGGAATAAAGGAGGAACGCTGCATCGCAGCCTTTTCGGACCAAAACCAGTCGATTCAGCGTCCAAAAGACTACAACATATGGGCCAATCGCGGTCATCCGTGCTTTTATAAGAACGAAATGGCGCTTTTAGTGACATTTTGCATACAAATCCCCATCTCGTAGGGCGCAGTCACCCATTTTCGGTGGAAGTGCGCGAGTTCGATTGGGATTCAAGTAGGATGAGAGTTCTCCCATTAGTAGTAGAGAGGTTCTGCAAAACGAAAATGTGTACGAACTTTCGCTCTACGTCACGAAGTGAGAAACTTCGCACGAACTTTCGCAACTTTGGACGCGAAACTTGCAGGGAACGCGAAATGAACTTTCGTAGGAAGTTTCGTGAGATTGGGTCATGTCGTACGTGCACTTGGCGCGTGCAAACTACGAAAATGTGCAGAACACAAAGTTCGTGCGAAAATTCGTACACATTTTCGCAAGGCCTGTCGCGAAACTTCGTTCGAATTTTCGTTGTGCAGAACCTCTCTAGTAGTGAGGTTTTGCATTCCGAATTTCGGTACAGCGTTCTTCGGTCATTTGTCGAACATCAAAATGTCGAATTTTCGCACCGACGTTTGTTTTGCAAGTCGAAAATGATGTGTTTTCATTCCGTGAGCCCCAGCATCAGCAACGTCCTGTCCCGTGCTCCTTTTCTTGCTGATTCCAACGAACTTTGATCGCCCAAAGAGTCGAGGGCCAAACCTGCCTCCTCAGTCGCCTCAGAAAAACCAACTCCATGGCCAAGTCAAATTTTATGCGTGCCGCCATAGTCTTTTCAGCCACACAGATGACGGTGAGGACACTCCAGGCGAAAGAGAGTAGACAGGCAGTGGAGAGCAGCAATCAGAGGTAGCTGACGATGCCAAAGACGCCTGCCAAGCGATGCCGATAAGACACCACCTTGAATAAATCAAGCGCTAGCGCTCTTCTACAAGAAAATGCATCCGAAAAATATTTTCGGCAAAGTGGGCTTTTTCCGAACAAACACGCCGAATCTTCGTGTGCATTTTCGACCTCGCTCTCGCGTGCCGAATCTTTTTGCCGAATTTCGGAATGCAAAACCTCACTAGTATTACTCTTTTTTCGTATTATTAGTTTGTTTCTTTTGTTATGATTTCTTGTGTTTTTCACTCGGCTTTATTATCATTAATTATTTTAACTTATTATTTGGTGCACATTAGCGCTACATGGTTTATAATTTCCCTTTTTCTTGATTTTGTATTTAGCGCTTTCGGGTGTTATTATTTATTTTTCTTATTTTCGCACTAAATTATTATTTTTGGCTACCGTTAACGCGTTCTGCTTTCGTTTTGCGTGGATATTTGTAAAATTGTTTTATACACCCGAATTCAAGTGCCGGATTACGATGTAGGAATTGAAGTTATGAACTCTTGATATTATTCAAAATCGAAAAGAAAGAATACTACATTATACATAGTAGAAAAAAAAAAAAAAGAAGTAGGAAGGGAGCGTCTCAGCTTTCTCGGACCAAGACCATTGGACTCAGCACCCCGAAGACTACAACTGGTGAAATTTTAGTTTTTGCCCCTTTAATGATTGTGTACTGAGTACATTGTATTTCCGAAAGTGTGGGTAGTAAGTACTCTTGCAATGGTACATGGTGGAGACGATAGTCGACATCATGGATCATTCTGAAGCTGGTCAGCTGCGAGCGGAGACCGAAGCCGAGCTGAAAGCAAAATCTGGGGAGTTTTACGACTCGACGAAAGCGTGTGCAGCACCAAGGGCCAGATTACTACAATGTCTTCGAGCGAGCAATTGTGTGAAAGAGGTGCGTGGACAGTTTCGAAATTTTCACATTGAACATTGCATATTTGTGGAACTTTGGAAGGTGCAGAGCAAGTTCTGGTGGGTATATTTGCACGTTCACTGGTGCTTGAAGTCGAATACGTGCACACAACGTAGAGTATTAAGCTAATACTGGTAATTATTGTTACGTCAAGTTCTGAGAATTTTAGAAACGTTTGAAAAGAACAAGAATACATAGAAGTTCATAAAACTCATACAGGGTTTCTGTACTCTTGATAGAACTCATACAGGGTTTCTGTACTCTTGATAGAACTTATACAGGGTTTCTGTACTCTTGATAGAACTTATACAGGGTTTCTGTACTCTTGTCTGGATTATGTGGATAAGACAATCAAGGCATACTTCATGCGACGTGACTACAATGGCGTTGTAGTCACGTGTAGTCATTGTGTGTAGCACTGTGTACTTAGGGCCCGGTCACACATGCACTTGAAAGTAGCGTATACGCTGAAGCGAGGTCGCAGCAGCGAAAAATGGCATGGCAACGGCGAAAAGCGGATCTTCCGCTTCAGCGGAAACTCCAATCCGCTTCCTCCAAAATGTTCGAAGCGAGACTGTCGCTTCTGCGGATTCGCTTCAGCGGAAAACACCACGGTCTGCTGTATATGGACTTGCTACGAGAAATTTGTATGCGATGATGTCCATGCAGCAAAAATACGTGCAAGATAGTCATTGACCTCGTCTATTATCCGTACCGTATGCACCACAGTCCACTTTACTCTCATTTTCCGCCAAAGTAGGAGTTGTGCCCTGTTTGTATGTGTGACCATGCACACGTGGTTTCGCTGGAGCAACACCAGGCGCGCTGCCGCCGAACGTCGTCGCCGAAGCGAATCCCAGTGCATGTGTGACCGAGCCCTTAGCTGGACTCCGCCGAAGCGAATCCCAGTGCATGTGTGACCGAGCCCTTAGCTGGACTCGGCAGAAGCAGGATGGTGTGGAAGAGTACTGTACTTGAGCAGTGTATCATCTATGCCAAGTCATTACCAGGCAGACGTATTAAGCGGGATTCACAGAAGCTTTTTTTGCGATGCGGCAGCCGCGAAACCGGGAAATCCCCAAATCGCAGCCACCTCGCACCCCATGCAACTGCCGCAACTGGGCCATCGCAGAAGTTGAGCTTGGCTCAACTTTTGCGATGCGACAAGCGATTTGGCGTACGATTTTGGCCTTTTCTACAGCAAAGTTGTACAAAGGTTCAAGAGTTGCCTGTGAATTTGTACACGTACCAAACCGCGCGAATACCATGGTGACGTACCCACCTGCATTGAACTTCGCGCCAAGTCAGCAAGGCGTTGTCGCATCACTGACTTCTTCTGTGAACGGTATTTCGCGAGTTCGCATCGCACGCGTCCGTCGCAGATCGCGTCGCATCGCGTGTCGCATCGCAAAAAAGCTTCTGTGAATCCCGCTTTAGACTGCCCCCCCCCCCCCCCCCCCTGGAAAACCGCAGGGGTAAAAATCAGAAATTTGCGCAAGAAATTGCGGGCGAAAAGAATGAATAATGTGGGCCAGATATAGAAATACCGTATTAGGCCAAAACAAAAAATAGGCTTGTTTCCGGTCGGCAACCCCTCAAAAAGGAGACTCGGTCGGCCGGAATGAAACTTTTTATGGATACTTTTTTTGGTTCCTCAATCGTTGTGGCATTGATGGACAAGAGCACCTACACATGTACATTGTACATTATATTATCATGGCAAGGATCAATGTCAAAGTTGACTGACTCACTGTTCTTGTACAGCATTTGGTGTATTCCTGTTTTCGTACATCCTGAGAAATCAAGCAAACAGTTCGAGTCCTTCCAGCTCCGTTATTCTAGCTCGTATCGACCCCGGAGGGTTTCGAGCCGACAGCTGAGAATCTCTGCTACCTTGTAGGTGTTTCGATTGTGGAATTCGGTTGAGATTTGACTGAGTTATGACTCTTTTAATGCACTGGCACACATGGCATTGCCACCGTTTGCATACATTTGGGACCAAAAAAAAGTTTCAGAATTTGGGAAAAAGTGGCCCGGTCGGGCGACCGGAAACAAGGTCATTATTTGTTTTGGCCTTATCTCTAATATAAGCACAGTCTCCAATAATAGCACGTCTCCAATAGTAGAACACCTTGGGCGGCATTCAAAAAATAAAGTGCTCAGTCTCCATTATAAGCACACTGTCTATGGTTACCTGCAAGAGTACATAACCCCCAGAGTGTGCAACGCGCGATAGGGTCTTGTCACGACTCGCTTTCAACATTACGTCATTTTCATGCACATTTTCATGTAGCGAATGTCGCGGCCTGCATACGCAGCTACATGAAAATGACGTAATGTTGAAAACGAGTCGTGACAGACATTTATGTGGCGTTGCACACTCTGGGGGTTGTGGACTCTTGGTACCTGGTAAAATGCATGTACCGTATTATCTCTAAAATGCAGTACCGGCGAAAAACCCCTGAAATGTGTGTGTCTGACATGAATTTGGCATGGCAACATGCCTCTGAAATGAGGTTGAAATAATAATGGAACAGTCTCCAATAAAGGAACGTCTCCATTAGTAGCACGGGGCGGAGGTACATTGTAAAAATAAACGACCAAGCTTATATTAAAGATAATACTGGTACTGTAAGACCAGATATTTTAACGTCAATTAAAGTTAACGATCTCCGGATTTTTGTGGGTTAGCGAGGTGAAATTCTAACGAATTCCGTCTCAAAACCGGGAAATGACAGTACAGGTACACATCGTTTTGTACATAACGACTTCAAATGTTTACGATTTTTTTATTTCGTTAAATTGTTAGAATTAAATGTTCGTTAACATTTCTGGTCTTACAGTAGTAAAATACAGTCAACTTTGCGAATAACGACACTCGGCGGGGCATCAGAAAAGTGTCCTTATTCGCGAAGTGTCCTTATACCCGAAGTCGCATTATGTATTACAGTTAGATGGGACTTTGCTCAGGGCACGGTAATTCTGTCGTTATTCGCGAATTGTCGTTATATCCGCAGTCGTTATTAGCGAAGTTGACTGTAGTACGAAATAGAGTAGTAAATTTGCGGAAAATGCAGTATCTTGCAACGATAGTTTTGGACCACAAAAACGTGAACGGAGGATCTAGCAAGGAATTTCGAAGCACGAAGAACAGTGCGCTGTCAAAATTCGGCCCTGGGGACAAACGTTCACAGCCACGCGCTTCGCGTCCACCAAGTACACATAGCTAAGCGCACAGAACACACCATGCATGAAAGTCTGTACAGTGTGGGCCATGGCATGGGCTCACGGATTCACTGACAATTGAGGCAAAATGAAGAAATTGCGCGTTTTCCACGGAAAATGCTAGATTCGCGGAAACCTACGAAAATCGCGGAATTTGTCGCGGCCACGGAATCGTGATTTTCCAAAGGGACAGATTTAGACTAGAATTATATTATTGGCAGAAAGTGACTGAGCCATTGCACAGAGAGACTGATTTAATCACAAAGGAATTAGCGTTTCGAACAAGAAGTAGGAAGTACATTCCCAAACAGCTCGTGCATGCGTACACAGAATTTGCCATCACTATTTATTTTAAGTAAAAGTGGGGAGGCTTCCTGCAGTTTCATGAACAGTTCAGAGTAGAGGCTACACGCTTTCTTCCATTGACACTGGAATAATTCAACTCATTTCACAATAATTATTGTGAAATGAGTTGAACTATTGCAGTGTCAATGGAAGAGAGCGTGTAGGCTCTACTCTGAACTGACTATTTATTTTACTTGAGGTAATGCGAACAGATTAAACGTGAAATGCGACACTTGCCTCTAGGAGGAGGGGACGTGGCACAGACACTGGTGCGGCGTTCACACCGGAAATACGATTCTGTACATTTGATGTGTGAGGTCACGACACCAGCACACGGTTTGTCCAGGTTGGTAAAAAACTGGCTTTCTTTGTTTGTCTGTTTGGACTCTCTTTGTGTTTCTGTGTGGGTATGTGTGTGCGCTGTGTGCATGCGCGTGTGTACGTGTGCTCGTATGTGTGTGTGTGTGTGTATGTGCGTGTGTGTGTATGTGTGTATGTGTATGTATGTGTGTGTGTGTGTGTGTGTGTGTGTGTGTGTGTGTGTGTGTGTGTGTGTGTGTATGTATGTGTATATGTGTGTGCTCGTGTGCGGGTGCTTTGGTACAGCGTGGTCTAACGCCACGCGAGTGCCTGCTGCTGAAAGAGGAGGGTGCATACGAGTGCGAGCAGTTCCGCTTGAGATTGTTCTACTGTAAACATTCTATGGTAAGTTTGGTGTTCGCATACGGGTTTATACTCGCGTCATCAGTCACACGCTTTTTGTAAAGTCACGCACTCCTGACAAGTCGTGCACCTTTGAAATCCAGACGGCATGTACAGTCAACTTCGCTTATGACGACACTCGGCGGGGCATCAGAAAAGTGTCCTTATTCGCGAAGTGTCGCTATACCCGAAGTCTCATTGTGTATTACAGTTGGATGGGACTTTGCTCTGGCATGGAAATTCTGTCGCTATTCGCGAATTGTCGTTATATCCGAAGTCGTTATTAGCAAAGTTGTGTGTACTTTTGTATGTGTCTACACAGGGTTCTAACCAGGAAAAAGGTGTAGGGGTTGGATGGGGGACGGGGGGGGGGGGGAGCATGGAAACAAACAGTTCACCCTTTTTGTCCATGTGTCCACTATTGCCTTGTCACACAGAGTGCTACGTACGGGCACAGCGAGCACCCGGAATGATCAATTTGTGGCCGCATTTCCATTGTGTGAACTGAAAAACACGAAAATCGAAAAAAATGAGTAGGGCGGTACGTCATCAGAGTGGGGAGGGGGGGGGGAGGGGGGTGGCACAATCAGAGTAGGGGGGGGGGGGGGCATAATCAGAGTAAGGGGGGGGGGCACAATCAGAGTAGGGAGTGTCCATCCCGAGTGCATGTAGCAGCTTTGACTTCTGCGTGGACACTATGCCTCCGTTGGCAGTTGCTATTGACCATGCAACTTGCCAGAGCTCCTACTGAACTAACGTTCGCACATCGAATGTGCGGTTTTAGCCATTATTTGGAACTGTGTGAATAGCGGGCGGTCAGCTTTCACGGCTTCAAATTCGGAAGTTGACTTTGCCTTCTTCTTACTGTACGTGAATGAATGCAGCTTCCTCGCTGGAATTCGATCAAAGAAACTGGTGTTGCGAGACTGAAGACGCTCTTTGACTAACAGCTGGAAAGCTACTTCGCCTTCAATCTGGGCCTGCAACAACTCTGTTTGAGCAGCTGGAAGGCTACTTCGCCTTCAATCTGGGCCTGCAACAACTCTGTTAGAGCAGCTGGCGCACACACACACAGTTCTTGTGGATAGGCTCACCGGCTCCTTTCAATCAAACAGACTTTCCCAATCCAGTGGCCGCTCCACAATCTTTCCCATGGCTTTTTCTTCTCGGGAGATGTTGGCCGCTGCTTCATCTGGGTGGCGTGCAAACATCTCCGAACGCAACACCCTCATCCATTCTGGCCAAGTCGTGGCATGCTCTTACGGTTGCCGAACGTTCATGGATTGTTAGTGTCCATCAATGATTGACAGCACCAGGATTGCGGTTGAACCCGACAATACCACCAATGGTCTTGCTATCACGGTTCAGTGTCTGTTCAATTGCTTGATTCACTGGAACCTGTGCCAATTGCCGTTCTGACACGGTAGTGCTACTAGTCACCTTGCAGCCCTTCTGACTGGAGAAGCAGGGTTGGTATTTCCGGCACCGAGCACATGGTGTTCAGAAAGGGGTTTGTACCATGCCGAGCGGAATCAGGGGTTGAAAATAATTCTGGTAGCCCATCTGCAGTGGTCTCCCCTCGGGTAACCGGGGATGGCCGAATTGGTCTAGCCAAGGGAGTACAATTGATCCACCCATTGGCATCGCATGCCGTGTCGAAATCAAGGAGAAATGCCTCAAAGTCTTCATAATACTAAGAATTAATCATGAATTGTAACAAGCACACATATACGTACATGTACACCACTACGCACATACGAGTCTGACATACGCCCATTCCGCAGACACCCACATGTACAAACAGAACACGTGTAAGGCAAGTGAATGATAGAAGGAGATGTAGAGAGAAGAAAGAGGGAACCAAAAGAAGAGTAGGTGCAAGCAGAGAAGATCAGGAGTCGCGCATGTTGTGGTTCTGGAAGTATAGTAACTCCGTTGGGGAAGTTCCTGCTGCTAGTCGGGGTTGCAACGGAAGTAGAACTGGGGATGCAACATCCTGAGGTAAGCTCAACTCAGAACGAACACAAAATCAAACACAACCACAAGCACACAACAAGAATGCAAAGCTGTTGGGGGAAGCTCAACAGGGAGGACGAACACTCAGCTGGAGGCGTGGAAACAAATGGGCCAAAGGTGAGGGAAAGAAGCTAGGGAAGTGATGATTCCTCTCACTTGGGAAGGGGCTAAACTCCACAGCGAGGACGAACACTCAGCTGGAGATGACAAGCAAAGGGGCTTAATGAAATGATTGTTGGAAGGGTAAATAGAGGGAACTTTGGAAGTTGGGAAATCGCAAAGTCTGAATGAATGAAAAAATATATATATAAACCGTGACAGTTGCAATTGATAGGGTCAGTTGGCGTGAAAATATTTAGAGGTGGAAAGAGGGATTTTCACCACTCGCCATAAAGACTGCTACGGCATGAAGAAAAGCCAGACAGTGGAGGGAATGTCAACGTCGACAAACATCTCGGCACAAATGGAAGGGGTGGGAGGGGCGTCGAGGATTCAAAACATCTCGACACAGATGGAAAGAGGGAAAGGGCGTGGAGGATTCAAAACAACTCGACACGGATGGAAAGGAGGAAGGGGCGTCGAGGATTCAAAACATCTCGACACAAATGGGAACGGGCGTGGAGGATTCAAAACAACTCGACACAGATGGGAAGGGGGAATGGGCGTGGAGGATTCAAAGCATCTCGACACGGATGGAAAGGGGGAAAGGGCGTCGAGGATTCAAAACCTCTCGACACAGCAAACGTGTATGAAGAACAAAGATTACCACACAGGGAAAGTTGAGGTAGGAGGGGAGAAAAGGCACATTCCATCTCAAGCATTCAAACATGTCTTCCTGTGCGTTTCTCCGAACGAATAGGCATAAAACGGTCAATGGGGAAGCGTCTGCAGTATAGTAACAACAAGAGTTACTAAACACAAAGCTTGTGTTAGAGAGGATACAACTTCAGACGAACAAATTAATGAGTCTAAAGAGGCCGGATACACAGTCAAGGGTTGTACTCTGGTGGTCTAGTGCCATGAAAAACCAGCTCCAAACACTTGACAGTATGGTCAGAATGGATATTGTCACACAAGGGGGCACGGGGGTGATAATTATTCTCAGGCGGTCTAGTACCATGGAAAAGTCTGCCTACAGCACCAACATTTCCCACAGCAATCAGTGCAAAAGGGGTGCATGTGCCTCAAAGTCATCATCACAACACTCTAAATACTTAGAATAAAGGGCTTCCCGCGGAGATTCATCCACAAGCACTTCATAACCAACAGGTGAGTCCTCGTCATACCCAGAATGAAAATCAGCATCACTCAAGGGCACAGCGGACTGCAACAAACCATCAGCCTTACTTTTAAAATTATTGGAACAATTAGAATCCTTATCAGATGGGAAAACTGACAAGCTTTCATTACTATTTTGAAGTAGAATACTTATGTGTAGCGGAGTCATCGGCAGGAACTTCGAATGGAGTAGAATAATCACAGTTATGGACGAACTTTGAAGAATCTGCCTCAGTAACTAGTTTAAATGGCTATTATGAAAGCGGGTGGGGTGGGAAGATGGGCCAGGAGGACGAGAACCATTCCTGTTGTCCCTAAACTCAACTCGACTGTTATGTGGACGGGGACCATGACGAGGAGGACCATACCCGGAACCTTGTTTAGTACGGGGTGGAGGGGGACCATAAGCCATCCCTTGATCAGGACGAGCAGCATAGGATGCATCATGATCAAAATTACGGGGAGAACCATGTGGCATAGGGTGATCGTGATAACCCGACTCAAAAGAAGGTGGGCCCTGGACTGAGCCACGGGGAGGGTCATAACGCCTAGCATAATTATCGTGATAGGGGGGCTGATAACCAGACTCAAAGGAAGGTGGGCCCTGGACTGAGCCACGGGGAAGGTCATAACGCCTAGCATAATTATCATGATGGGAGGTCTGGTAACCAGACTCAAAAGAAGGTGGGCCCTGGACTGAGCCACGGCACGGGCCTGTGCCATAAGAGCGGGCAGAATTAGAGGTAGGTTCATTATGGGAAGGATTGTACTGGGGTTTACGGCCTTTATGGGGATCACCATTAAAAGTACTAACAGGGGCAGACAGGCGAGTCTCGAGTTTCTCTACTGCCAAACAGAGACGGGTGAGCGTATCAGGTTCATTAGTGTACTGCTGTGCACGGGAGTTACTACTATTACCCTTAGAACCAGACCCAGGGGGACGCTCATCTCGTACAGAAGACACAGCTGCACTGTACGGATCATTTCGCTCATGTCTGGCAGAGGCATCAGCAAATGAATGTGCTTCCAAATACAGAGCCCTACGCAGTGCATCTTGCATGGTTTCAGGTTGGCTATCCCTAACCCTTGCACGCAATGACTCGCCTAAAGCCTGAATGAAGGATTCCATGGAATAATCATCCCTCTCTAGTACTCCTGCTCTGGGATAAGCCCTGGCTGTCAACAGACGAATGTCATCGGCTAAAGTCGACAACGATTCCCCATGTTGGCGGCATTTCGTACGTAGCTGGGTTCTACGGACGTACTGGGCTTCGGCTGGCATGTATCGCTCAGTAAGGATTTTTCGAAGGGTGTCATACTGCCCACATTCTACCACTGTTAAACTTAATAGAAAACGTGCAGCACTGTCACGAAGTGACCTCTTTAACAATACAAGTTTACAGTGAAGTTTGCGTGCAGCATCTTCATCCTTCGCCTCCAGCGCAGTAAGAAAGGGGTTATGAGCAACGGGAGTCCCAACATCTGAACCACGGCCAAGGGGACCCGGATACTGATAGTCTTTAGTGGGGAGGGAGGCATCTGGCTTACTAATACTGGCACTAGACTTGGACTTCGTATCATCAGCATAATGAATCTTTGGTGTTGGAATATCGTCAGGTGCGTATGGACCGTCCGAACAAGCTTCAGAGTACCGAGTATAAGATGTTGTCTCTTTAGGTGGGGCCGGGGTAGACGTAACAGGAGATGGGGTAAGGGCGCGTTCAGACTACCGATAAAAAGTGACCGATTGGGAAAGTCGCCAAGGTGATTTGATCACGTGACGTTACTGGCACATTACCGGTGGGAAAATTTTACTGCCGCGGCTGCTGCGGCAGTAAACTTTTACCGGCAGTAAAAAAGTACTCAGGCTGCATGCGCGCTGGGAAAAAAGGGAAAATCCCTTGTCAGAGCCGCGGTGAGAGCTGAAAACTTCACGGTAACGTTAGTTTGTTATCGGTAGTGTGAATGTCCTTCACGGTTTATCGGCATTCACGGTTTGACGGGGTTCACGGTAGTCTGAACGCGCCCTAACCGTATAGTGTGAACCAGATGCTTCCCCTCGGGTTCTTATGGGGGCTGGACGGACAGGCCGAGCCAGAACGGTAGTATCATCCCAACCATTGGCATCACAAGCATTATCGAAATCTAATAAGAATGCTTCGAAATCCTCGTTCTCTTTGCCTGAGAATGGACGGGGCATTATCCAAGAAGATTGATTTGACATATTGAATAGTTTTTTTTTCAAGATCAAATATGGAAGACCGAACAGGTTCGTACGAAGTATGCTACACTAGACAGTAAGGCTGATAAGTCTGATGCACCCGAAACACCACAAAAGGACACCAATTAACACAAAAGGAAAACGAACAAGAACACAACGGTAGGCAGAAGCACTTATGACTAATACGATACACAAGCTTATCGAAGTTACTCACGCGGGGAATTGAAAGGCACCGGGAATATTCATTAGAGAGTCGTTAGGTAGTCGGTAGAGCGGAGGGAGTGGGTATTTAGAGCCAAAGTTGGGCGCCAATGTTACCAAAGGTGTTATTGTTCACACACGTCCACCAGAGATACCAGTTAGTTGAGAGTCGTATATTTCACGAGACGAGGACAGATTATTGAGACACCAGCATTAGGGCAAGGATTCGACTGACTAGCATTAGGGCAAGGATTCGACTGACTAGCATTAGGGCAAGGATTCGACTACTGGCTAGATTATGGAAAGGTTGGTTATATTGTGTGCAATACTACAGAAATACTACAATAAATGTACGGTGCAATGCATGAGCGCGCCCATTTAGCTGGGGGCGCATATTATGTGTATAGCCCGACTATGTACACTATAAAGGGATGTAATTAGATCAAATGTACGGTGGTTTTTATGTGCAGGGGCAGAAGGAGGGAAAACGGGCTACAAATGTGTATGGTACTAATTATTGCATGCAGGGGCAGCGGGGAAATGGGTCAAATATGGTTATGAAGTGTGTACGTACTCTCTGATCCTCTGGTCTTGGAACAGCTGCTGGTGTAATGACTAGGATTTTCTCTCCGGCATTTGTTGTCTGCATTATATTTCCTATCTCCTACCTAGTACCCTCTGCCCCACTTGTACTCATGTGATCAGTTGTACTCGTTTTTCTCTGTTGGTGTTCTGCCCAATGCTCCATGCAGGTAAGCAAAAGAAGTCGCCTGCGTGGTCTGGTTGGAAACGACTAATCCCCCCGTCCGAGTGTGCGTGCTCGTGATCCTTAGCTACATGTATGTGTCGCTGGTGCGTGTGATGCCATTGCCCTCTGCCTGTGATCGGGATTCCTGTCTTCCTTGCACGTTACGATCACCGAACAACAGTATTGATCTACTCTTCACGCTGCTTCCGCCGACCCCATACTGCCATAGGAAATGCGGTTGCAGCTACTTCCAGTGAATGTATCTCTCTGTGTGGATGACTGTACAGAATTGAGCTGTCTGTGGCAGGTGTGTGTGAGCACACTTGGAAGCACCCTCCCTAGCCGACATCGCTGTATCTATCACCAGCTATGGTAAGACTGTATCTGTCATGCTGTTGCTATAGCGACTGGCAAGATGGCCACGGTGCTGCCGTTGCAATGGAAATGGTTCATTTCAATTTTTGACCGATAGACGTTGATCTGCGTTGAGGCTGGGCGTCGGTTTCAGCTGTTTGAGACACTGCATTGAGATGATCACTGAAGCAGCACGCTGTGTCTGTCCTAGGAGGCAGACTGATATGACTGGCGTTGGCACCTGTATGTACAGCTGTAGTATTGTTTGTAATATAGTTTGTGTTATGTTCAATTTTGTTACTGCAAGCCGATTGGTGATTGCTGCTGGCCTGTTTTTCTGCATTGCTGGGTGATTTGATTTCCGCATTTTCTAGTTCCTGACGTTATGATTTCAGCATGACTTCAATACACTGCTAACAAGCTAACACTAACAGTAACATTGTACTAGCAAGAGTACATGAAATCCAGAGTGTGCAGCGCGGATGGGTTGCTGTCACGGCGGAATTCCGTGATTACTCATGCACCATAGGGTGCCATTTACACCTCCCCTGGTTGTTACCAAGAGTATACGGGGAGTCATGTTACCCCCCCCCCCCCCCCCCCCCCGCCACACACCACCCCACCCACCCCGGGTGCTATGCGGGCAGCTATTTTACCTTCCCTACGTACATGTCATTATACTGAAAAGGGGGTTTGTCAACTGACAACCGCTTGTCACACTCGGCGCTTGCGCTGGGTGAAACATTCTTTATTGTGATGTCGAAAACTTAACTTAGTGAACCCTACAGAACAGAACAACAAGGACGATCAAGGCTTGTTTGCTGCTACTTCAAGTTTCATGCTCTCGCAATCATCAGACAACACGAAGATCAGGTGCCGACCATGCCCGTATATATGCCAAGGAAAGGGTGGTGTAAAAAGCTGTGTGAGAATGTGGGGGCTAGCGGTGTTATTTTACGCAGGAGGCTGTGTGCAGAGTGTGTGGTTGATGAAGGCAGGTCTTGTGAACCCTACAGAATTATACATGTGCTCTGAGTAATGGTATTTGCATGGGGAGTAGCCCTTGGCACATTCTGCTCGAAAAGCCAGACATGCAAACCAGCAAGAGTACGCTTGAAACCAGTTACCTTATCTTAAATCTCATGCCAAGTAAGTATCTATGGCAGGCACTTCCTTGCCATTTCTTTATCCACATACCCAAGCATGCATGAAACATACCAGAAAAATACAATGATTTTGTACCAGACTCTACAAAATGTAGTACATGACCATACTAGTCTTGATGTAGATCTACACCATGGACCGGACATAGGGCTTGAAAGTGCTACGTCACAGCATAGCAACAATTTCAAAAATTCAAAAAATGGATCCACTTGGATCCAGTTTTTGTATGGATCCAAGCACATTTCAAGCGGTCTTACCCACAGCATGGTGATGTAGCCAGTGAAACTGACTGATTTGGCTACTGGGGGCGGGGTTACAACTGGTGGTGAAATAAAAGTCACACCTGCATGCGACATGAGTGGGTTGCTATGCACCCACATACTTTAATAGGCAATAGCAAAGTCACACCTTAGTGGATCCAAAAATAGAAATCTGATGTCAACTTACTACTCCCTGGCCGTTTTGACGTCATCACTTTCTAGACCATGGCATGGTACATAACACCAAACCATGGACAGACTGGGCACGGGTCGCACACGCTGTGCGTGTGCAATGGCATTGCGGATATGCGCCCATGCCCAGCCATGCCGCGCGGAGAGAGCTACACTTGTAGAGGACGGTCGTAACTATGGCGACGTAAATTAATAGAGCGTTTGGCAACCATGGACAGACTGGGCACGGGTCGCACACGCTGTGCGTGTGCAATGGCATTGCGGATATGCGCCCATGCCCAGCCATGCCGCGCGGAGAGAGCTACACTTGTAGAGGACGGTCGTAACTATGGCGACGTAAATTAATAGAGCGTTTGGCAATGACACGCGAAGGACTAAAGGGACCGTCACTTAATTTTTGCCGACTACCCGCCAAAAAAATCTTTTCGTTTCACGTGTCAGGCACGTCCGCGAGCGCGTACGACTCGCGATCGCGCGCGCCTGCGCTACCTTTCACGTCAGGCGATCTGTTCACGCCACATGGCTGGATAGCGCGTACATGCAAACATGATTGAAGACTTGCAAAATCAATAATTATTATGTTTACAAAATACAAGTCCAGGCGCTAGGCCTAGGCAGTAATGCCTAAAAGGCTAATGCCCAGGCAGCTGACTTTATTTTCGGAGAAATACTACTCATTGTAGTAAAAAGTAACAATGAATAGCGATATCATCTAGGAAGGATCGCTACCCTAACGCGAAGGAAAGGCCTTGCGCGGCTGCTCTACGAAGTGTTGAAGAAAGACTCATCAAAGTTTAATAGTTGGTGGACGAACAACTCGCTGGCGCCGGAAAACTTGGCCCCCAACGATGGTGTTTGGTGAATCATCAAGCATAATGTCTTGTAGCAGTGTTCACCGAGGAAGGAGAACGCTCTAGCCGCTGCTGTTGTCCGTTTCATCCACGTTGGGCGTTAGCTGCACCGCGCCTATTGCGTTTTAGTATTCCATGGACACACATTAGCATTCAGAGCGATTGTGGAGCCACAATTTACTTCACACAGCGTTGTATTGTCCACGAGCGCAAACTTCATTATCAGCAGTAACTGTTACTCTTCATCCTACATGTAGACTTGGAGTATACACGGCCTTGTCACGACAGCGACAGCTCTACAGAGTGTTCAAGTGAGAAACATTAATTTCTATTGTTGGTGGACGAATAAATGGCTGGTTCCAAAAAAACGCGGCCTGCACCGATGGTATTTGGTGGATCATCAAACAGGGTGACCAGCAGTGTTCACCGAGGAAAGAGAATGCACTCGCCACCACTCCGATTCATCCAAGTGGGCGTTAGCTGCGCCGCGCCTATTGTGTTTTAGTATTCCATGGACGCACACTAGCGTTCTCAGCGATTGTGGAGCCACAACATATCTTCATGCGGCGTTGCACTGTCCAAGAGCAGAAACGTCAGCAGTGACCCATCATCATACATGTAGATTTGGAGTATACACACCATGCGCCAATGGGCCTTGGCACAACAGCGGCAGCTCTACGGAGTGTTCAAGTGAGAAACATTTGTTTCGACTTTGGTGGACGAACAAATCGTCGGTGCCGAAAAACGTGGCCTGCGCCGATGGTGTTTGAACCATCGAGGGCTCCGGAAGCAGCAGCTGAGCCAGATCAGCCAGTCTTGCCAACTCTCAGTTGCCGGACTCCGTGCTGCAGCGAGCAGCACTGGCACCAGCTGGAAATATTTTTCCGCCGATACCCGTTACTTCCAGTTCTGTCAAGGGCATAACTGGAATCCATTGCCAGGTGATGACTTTTTACTTTGTGTTATTTTGCTGCCGAGTTGTTCAGAACTTTTCAGCCCCGATCTGTCCATGTCGGCCATCCGCAAACTTCATGTGGAAGTTGGCTTTACCTACACGTCGGGCCCAATGACTCTCCTCGCAAGGTTCCTGTCGGGCATCAACAGGTCATCATCGACACAGCGTCATCGCCTGCTGATAACCACTCAACTTCTCAGGGAGATTAGCCGGCATGTTGCCTTTCCACGGATGTGGCACCCTCATGACAAGGCCATGCTAAGGGCAAACTGACTGCTTTATTTTAGCTTTACATTACCGCAGTCAGTCCAGCACAATACGCCAATCGTATTTCACTATTACTCGCTTGTCATAATTGGGGATATGGGCTGCTCCGCCCTATATCCCTGATATGCCAACTAGACGAAAAGTGTGTTCTGAGCCTGTATCGCGTATAATAGGCTCATCGTAAAACAAATAATAAGTCTTAAAAATCAGGGTTCACGTGACACTCGGGTTCCAGCCAAGTTTTCCGCATCCGCAGGAACGCTACCCCCCCCCCCCCCCCCCCCCCCTCTTGAATCATAGCATAGTGGACTCTGCAATGAACAGATTTATATGAAACTCCCTGCAGATTTACTACGGTCATCTCTGGTGACTGGTCTTGGGGCACCGTGGAAGCTGTGACTGGTTGCCAAGTTTTGTTTTGTGACTGATCATGGGGCATTTGTGACTACTTCGAAGCACAGCTCTGATTGATCACAAAGTCTTACTGTTGTGAATATTTATATCGATTGAGAAGTCAAGCAGCCACGGGGCGCTGGCCTTGCAGCTGTGAGTATGCATACGGTACATATTCACATGACTCTATCGTATGCTGGACACTGCTGGTCCATTGTTGCAGTGTGTAAGTGAACTGCAGAACCTATTCCGTGATGAAATGCCAGCACACCTGCCCCACCATTGCTCCGGCACTGATCAACAGCTACCGCAGCCCGACTCGGCTGTTTGTGGATGGTGAATGTCTCCTGTCTTGTGAAGGCACCACGCAGGGAGATCCACTAGCCATGGCTATGTATGCCCTGGCAACCGTTCCTCTCATCCAGGAAGTGTCTCAGAGCGGAGCACTCCAGTCGTGGTATGCAGACGACTCCACTGCCGCTTCCACCATTCGAAAGCTGCATCACTGGTGGTTACTGCTTAAGCAACGAGGCCCAGCATATGGGTACTTCCCCAATGATGCCAAGTCGGTTCTTGTTGTGAAGCCGGAGCATCTTCAGGAAGCAGAATCCCTGTTTGCTGACACGGCAGTCCAGATTCGCACGGATGGCTGGCGGCATCTCGGTGCGGTACTTGGGTCTCCCGAATTCTGCAAGCAATATGTCACAGAGAAGGTAGAGACATGGGCGCTAGAGGTTGGACGACTGGCTGACTTCGCCACCACTCAGCCACAAGCGGCATACGCTGCTTTTATTCATGGCCTCCGCCACAAGTGGTCGTTTGTGGCCCGGACGGTCCCAGGCATCAGCGGACTGCTAGACCCGCTGGAGCACTCCATCCGACAGCGGTTCATCCCTGCTCTAACCAGTCGCCCCGCACCTGGTGACGAAGAGCGCGCCATACTGTCCCTCCCGTGTCGAGAAGGTGGTCTTGGTCTCATTGACCCGAGGTCTTTGACGGACCAATACAATATGTCTGTCGTTGTCACCAACATCCTCGTGAGCCGGATACTGGACCAAGATACCAACATGGACGAAGTGCCCACCACCATCCATGCTGCCAAGCTAACTGCAGCAGCAGCAACCAGGAGAGCCGCTCGAGACCAAGCCAGTCAGCTCTTGGCCACATGTGATGCGCCCACCCAGCGAACCCTGGGGATGGCGGCCGAGAAAGGAGCGTCCAACTGGCTCACTTGCCGGCCCCTGAAGCAGTTCGGATTTGTCCTCCACAAAGGCGCCTTCAGAGACGCACTCTGTCTGCGGTTCGGCTGGGTCCCTCCCCGCCTGCCATCCACTTGCGGCGTTGCACTGTCCAAGAGCAGAAACGTCAGCAGTGACCCATCATCATACATGTAGATTTGGAGTATACACACCATGCACCAATGGGCCTTGGCACAACAGCGGCAGCTCTACGGAGTGTTCAAGTGATAAACATTTGTTTCGACTTTTGGTGGACGAACAAATCGTCGGTACTTTTGGTGGACGAACAAATCGTCGGTGCCGAAAAACGTGGCCTGCGCCGATGGTGCTTGAAACATCAAGCATGGTATGTGGTGACTGTCAGTGTTGATTGAGGAAGGAGAACACTCAGGCCGTCGACCGTTCATCCATTTCGTTAGCTGCACCAAGTCTATTGTGTCCTTGTATTCCATGGGCACACAATCATGAAGCATGGCGTCTGAGCTGTGTTCACAGAGCGGGGAGATGCTCTTGCTGCTATCTTATCTGTCCTGTGTATTCCCAAGTGCCGAAGGCTCACAACGATGGTGTTGGACAAGTCAGATAAAATAGAGTCAACGTAAGTACGCATGTGTACTCTTACTGACTGAAACATAAGCGGGGTGTAAGAGCTAATTCAAATGGTGTCGTGGCATTCTCATGTACGAGGTTAGTGTGTAGTACTTGTTACGTACTGAATTCTGTGACTTTGTTTTGTCTCCATATACTGCATGCATTCACGTTTCACAGTTATCAGTTTGACCCTGAGTTCATGTCTGTTATCCCGTGTCTCCTCTACTTATTTTTGTTTCCACACGGTTCATGGTGTAGCGCTGCACGTGTTCCGTCAGTTTGAACTTCAGCATAAATCGCAACTACTTGTACTTTCAGACATGTCACGTGATTGTTGCCAGGGTTTGAGCCAATCAGAGCGTTTACAGGCAGGGCCTGAACCCCTGATCATGCCTTGCCTGCCAGCTCTACTACGATATTATATGTCACGTACCCGCGCGCGCACGGTTCTCCTGCGCTTGGGCTTGCTTTCCCTTGGTAGTTGGAAGTCAGTGGCTGTTTTAGTACTCTTAGATTATGTATAGAAAGTGGTGGACATCACGCAACTGCAGTGTAAATTAAAGGGTGGTTGTCAACTGACAACCGCATAATTTTTCGTCATAATTAATAAAAGAATTTTCATCTAAAGAGTGAAAAGCAACTAAATAGAGCGGTTGTCGGTTGACAACCCCCCTTTTATTTAGATTATGTATCTGAAGTAAACACAACGTAGAAATATCACAATTGTCTCTTGTGTATTATATCCGTCTGATGTCACCAGATCGTCACACGGTGCTGTGACCAAGATACGGATCATGCCGAACGCTGATTCAACTGGACGAATCGCGAGGCTTTTCAGATGCAGGGACACAATGGAAACTGAATGACTTCAGAACAGCACTGAAGCGTTATGTTATCATGCAAGACGCCTTTCTGCGCCGCACAAACACAGGCGGTACTACAGCAGAAGATGTCACTCACTATTCTGCAGGTGCACTGGTGACAGGCGCATGCAAGTTCACCAGAAGGAAGCGGTCTGATGTTAACTGGAATGCCAGCAGTATGAGAGGGTGTGCATTCTGCGGCGGATCTCACCTGGACAAGAGCTGCGCGAAATACACAACAGTAGCACAGCGGAAAGAATAACTGATTGAACAGAAGCGTTGCTTTGTGTGTTTGCGCACAGGGCACCGGTCAACTCAGTGCAAGGCCACCCGCAAGTGTAATGTGTGTTCTCGCATGGGTCACCAATCAGAGTCACCATCATGTCACGATCTGCCCTGAATCTCAACAGAAATCTTACAGCAGTACCAACATGGTAGCTGACCAGCCTGTGGCTGACGAGGTACCAGCATCTAGCGCAACAGCAGCTAGTGCAGCATCAACCAGTATCACCATTGACCGTAAGATAGTCAGTCGTCTTGATCGGTGCAGATTTCCTCTGGGAGTCTTGACGGGGAGCACCAGAGGACTTCCGCCAGGACTACAGTTTCTGCCTACCACAGTCGGTTTTGTGGTGACTGGCCGAACACGTCACTCCAAGCACTCAGCTACGCCGATGAGCAGCCATGCCAGCTATCGTTTCTCAAACTGATGCAACTTCCGACTCCTGCACCATCCCAGATCTGTGGGACCTAGACTGTGTTGACATCCAGGATTCAGGCAATCTTACTAACAACGACCTAGCCATTAGGCAATTCATCATTGTTCTACGATTTTGCCTGCCACCAATCGTCATGACCTGCGATACTGAGAAGGCCATTTTACAAATCAGTGCCAACCCAGCATACAGAGATGCGACACGATTTCTGTGGTTCGCCAACTCCGACAGTCCATCAGTCACCCCATCCAGCCTGTTCACGCTCATAAGCAGTCCATTTCTGCTTGGCGCGTCTATACAGCATCATTTGGCACAGCAAGATGACAAAACAGCTAGCAGTGGCTATTGGTGAGAACATTTTCTGCTGTGCCATTGGAGTGTGCACGATACATGAACCCTGCTCTTTTGTTGGCACCGCCTATGTAACTTACTGCATAGGGTGCAAGGTGACTGTTGTCGGTTTACATGTACTACAGTTATTACACCGTGCATGCACTGAGTCTGTGCTGCACTGTGCATCCATAGGTGTTCGTTTGCGGTAGCGCAAGGTGACACGCAAGGTTGATGGATTGTTTTGTCCGCTGCTAATCGAAGCTCTCGGAGTCGAAAGCGTTACCTCTGTTTCCCCTGTTCCTCCCTGCGCGGAGTCTGTAGTTCTGGCTTGCAGTCGCTGTTACATGCATGTTGGCAGTTGCATGTGTTTTGGTTTTCAGTTGTCTTTATTTGTTTTGTGTGGACGACAGTTCAATATTCTAGCAGTTGTTGCACTTCCTGCATTCCGTAGTTATCTGCGGTTGGTGTTCGAGAGAGCAAACTGTGTTCTTCTCCAGAGTGGAGTAAACCATTCGCTTGTGTCTGAGGAAAACCCTGTGTGTTGACGAAGAGGTTGACTTGGCTGTAGAGTGAAAGTACCACATGGTCACAAAATCTTAGAACTAACTTAGGGTCTTCTGGCGTATGGTATAATTATATGAGCAGCATGAGAGTGAAGTAAAAGACTATTAGCTCAAACATTCAGTCTTTCAAGAGTAGGTGTTTCATCACGGAATTTTTTTTTTTTTTTTTTTTTTTTTACTTTCCGAAAGACTCGCAGTAACCAACAGAAAATCACGGAGTCATAGCAAACAAAACAAGATCATCGGATAATAAAAAGTGTGGCTAGACACGGCTACTCCGCAAGAGTCTCAGTCACGCAACTGACAGTCGTTGACTGCCAGCACAACAGGAGTGGCAGCATCCAAACGACTGCGGTAGGGAGAAGCACGGTGACCACGGAGGCTCATGTTGCAGGATCGAACCAAAGCAAAGGAGACAAGAGAGCGGATCCAGGACATGACGGAGGAGTAGGGTTCATGCCGCTTCTCCGAAACCATATGGCCAAGACGCTTCAGGAAAGCGTGGGCTACCTTGCCGCACCCACCAGATGCACTGAATACCAGTGGGAGAAAGGAAGCATGCTCCACCTCCCTGACGCGTTCTTCGTAGGCCCTTCTCTTCTGCTGTTCGGGCTTGGCATAGGTGGACGCGGGAGTTGAGGAAGTGTTCGAGCGCGCATGAGGGTTAAAACCCCGAACATCACAGAACGTGCGCTCAAAACGACTTCCCCAGACACCAGATGCCGCCACATCAAGACGAGCACCATCTTCCAAGATGGCAGAGCGATACCGGAGCCTTTCACCCTCCAGGGGCTGCAGAGGAGGTTCTATCTTCACATCCGTTGCCACTTCACGCAGTAGGTCGGCTGTCAGGTCGCGGATCGTGTTATGGCGGAGAGCCGGGTATCCACCAGTTGGGCACGAAAGAGCATGGCTGGTGTTAAATGCCTTGCCACACACACAAGTGGATGGCAGGCGGGGAGGGACCCAGCCGAACCGCAGACAGAGTGCGTCTCTGAAGGCGCCTTTGTGGAGGACAAATCCGAACTGCTTCAGGGGCCGGCAAGTGAGCCAGTTGGACGCTCCTTTCTCGGCCGCCATCCCCAGGGTTCGCTGGGTGGGCGCATCACATGTGGCCAAGAGCTGACTGGCTTGGTCTCGAGCGGCTCTCCTGGTTGCTGCTGCTGCAGTTAGCTTGGCAGCATGGATGGTGGTGGGCACTTCGTCCATGTTGGTATCTTGGTCCAGTATCCGGCTCACGAGGATGTTGGTGACAACGACAGACATATTGTATTGGTCCGTCAAAGACCTCGGGTCAATGAGACCAAGACCACCTTCTCGACACGGGAGGGACAGTATGGCGCGCTCTTCGTCACCAGGTGCGGGGCGACTGGTTAGAGCAGGGATGAACCGCTGTCGGATGGAGTGCTCCAGCGGGTCTAGCAGTCCGCTGATGCCTGGGACCGTCCGGGCCACAAACGACCACTTGTGGCGGAGGCCATGAATAAAAGCAGCGTATGCCGCTTGTGGCTGAGTGGTGGCGAAGTCAGCCAGTCGTCCAACCTCTAGCGCCCATGTCTCTACCTTCTCTGTGACATATTGCTTGCAGAATTCGGGAGACCCAAGTACCGCACCGAGATGCCGCCAGCCATCCGTGCGAATCTGGACTGCCGTGTCAGCAAACAGGGATTCTGCTTCCTGAAGATGCTCCGGCTTCACAACAAGAACCGACTTGGCATCATTGGGGAAGTACCCATATGCTGGGCCTCGTTGCTTAAGCAGTAACCACCAGTGATGCAGCTTTCGAATGGTGGAAGCGGCAGTGGAGTCGTCTGCATACCACGACTGGAGTGCTCCGCTCTGAGACACTTCCTGGATGAGAGGAACGGTTGCCAGGGCATACATAGCCATGGCTAGTGGATCTCCCTGCGTGGTGCCTTCACAAGACAGGAGACATTCACCATCCACAAACAGCCGAGTCGGGCTGCGGTAGCTGTTGATCAGTGCCGGAGCAATGGTGGGGCAGGTGTGCTGGCATTTCATCACGGAATAGGTTCTGCAGTTCACTTACACACTGCAACAATGGACCAGCAGTGTCCAGCATACGATAGAGTCATGTGAATATGTACCGTATGCATACTCACAGCTGCAAGGCCAGCGCCCCGTGGCTGCTTGACTTCTCAATCGATATAAATATTCACAACAGTAAGACTTTGTGATCAATCAGAGCTGTGCTTCGAAGTAGTCACAAATGCCCCATGATCAGTCACAAAACAAAACTTGGCAACCAGTCACAGCTTCCACGGTGCCCCAAGACCAGTCACCAGAGATGACCGTAGTAAATCTGCAGGGAGTTTCATATAAATCTGTTCATTGCAGAGTCCACTATGCTATGATTCAAGAGGGGGGGGGGGGGGGGGGGGGGGGGGGTAGCGTTCCTGCGGATGCGGAAAACTTGGCTGGAACCCGAGTGTCACGTGAACCCTGATTTTTAAGACTTATTATTTGTTTTACGATGAGCCTATTATACGCGATACAGGCTCAGAACACACTTTTCGTCTAGTTGGCATATCAGGGATATAGGGCGGAGCAGCCCATATCCCCAATTATGACAAGCGAGTAATAGTGAAATACGATTGGCGTATTGTGCTGGACTGACTGCGGTAATGTAAAGCTAAAATAAAGCAGTCAGTTTGCCCTTAGCATGGCCTTGTCATGAGGGTGCCACATCCGTGGAAAGGCAACATGCCGGCTAATCTCCCTGAGAAGTTGAGTGGTTATCAGCAGGCGATGACGCTGTGTCGATGATGACCTGTTGATGCCCGACAGGAACCTTGCGAGGAGAGTCATTGGGCCCGACGTGTAGGTAAAGCCAACTTCCACATGAAGTTTGCGGATGGCCGACATGGACAGATCGGGGCTGAAAAGTTCTGAACAACTCGGCAGCAAAATAACACAAAGTAAAAAGTCATCACCTGGCAATGGATTCCAGTTATGCCCTTGACAGAACTGGAAGTAACGGGTATCGGCGGAAAAATATTTCCAGCTGGTGCCAGTGCTGCTCGCTGCAGCACGGAGTCCGGCAACTGAGAGTTGGCAAGACTGGCTGATCTGGCTCAGCTGCTGCTTCCGGAGCCCTCGATGGTTCAAACACCATCGGCGCAGGCCACGTTTTTCGGCACCGACGATTTGTTCGTCCACCAAAGTCGAAACAAATGTTTCTCACTTGAACACTCCGTAGAGCTGCCGCTGTTGTGCCAAGGCCCATTGGCGCATGGTGTGTATACTCCAAATCTACATGTATGATGATGGGTCACTGCTGACGTTTCTGCTCTTGGACAGTGCAACGCCGCATGAAGATATGTTGTGGCTCCACAATCGCTGAGAACGCTAGTGTGCGTCCATGGAATACTAAAACACAATAGGCGCGGCGCAGCTAACGCCCACTTGGATGAATCGGAGTGGTGGCGAGTGCATTCTCTTTCCTCGGTGAACACTGCTGGTCACCCTGTTTGATGATCCACCAAATACCATCGGTGCAGGCCGCGTTTTTTTGGAACCAGCCATTTATTCGTCCACCAACAATAGAAATTAATGTTTCTCACTTGAACACTCTGTAGAGCTGTCGCTGTCGTGACAAGGCCGTGTATACTCCAAGTCTACATGTAGGATGAAGAGTAACAGTTACTGCTGATAATGAAGTTTGCGCTCGTGGACAATACAACGCTGTGTGAAGTAAATTGTGGCTCCACAATCGCTCTGAATGCTAATGTGTGTCCATGGAATACTAAAACGCAATAGGCGCGGTGCAGCTAACGCCCAACGTGGATGAAACGGACAACAGCAGCGGCTAGAGCGTTCTCCTTCCTCGGTGAACACTGCTACAAGACATTATGCTTGATGATTCACCAAACACCATCGTTGGGGGCCAAGTTTTCCGGCGCCAGCGAGTTATTCGTCCACCAACTAATTTTGATGAGTCTTTCTTCAACACTTCGTAGAGCAGCCGCACAAGGCCTTTCCTTTGCGTTAGGGTAGCGATCCTTCCTAGATGATGTCGCTATTCATTGTTACTTTTTACTACAATGAGTAGTGTTTCTCCGAAAATAAAGTCAGCTGCCTGGGCATTAGCCTTTGGCATTAGCCATTAGTACTGCCTAGGCCTAGCGCCTTGACTTGTAAAAAAATTGATTTTGCAAGTCTTCAATCATGTCTGCATGTACGCGCTATCCAATCCAGCCATGTGGCGTGAACAGATTGCTTGACGTGAAAGGTAGCGCGGCCGGGCGAGCGCGAGTCGTACGCGCTCGCGGACGTGTCTGGCACGTGAAACGAAAAGATTTTTTTGGCGGGTAGTCGGCAAAAATTAAGTGACGGTCCCTTTAGTCCTTCGCCTTGTAGAGGACGGTCGTAACTATGGCGACGTAAATTAATAGAGCGTTTGGCAATGACACAAAACAAAAGCCAGAACAGGTTTGAAAATGTAAATCCTAGGGTCGCTCGGGCGCTACATGATGAACATGTCCTTTCAAAGGCGAAATGCTTTTACATGGGCGTTTGTTGCATGCTGCAGAGCAAGCCAAACTATAATGTTTCTTCTTCTATGCACGCTGCTAGTTTGACCTGCACATTCACGCGTCTTTTCGTCATGAGTCTTGCATATTTAGCTAGCTCGCTAGTACTTCCCGGCGCCAATTAATTTGCCAGTAGTTTGAAAATTGTAAACAATTGCAACTGTTTTGCTCGTGCTTTGCTGCTGGACGAGTTTGATCGAGGTGTCAGCCTGGCGGCAGCGCTGATCCAGTGTACCGTGCGGAGCAGAATGTGAGCAGTTCTGCAGTTCCAGCTAGGAGGAGACAGCTGTGTGCGCGTGCGTGTGTACATGGAACAGCACAATACAGGCATCCAGTCCCACTGCATAACCTCTAGCACGGAATTCACCTAGCTGCACGCACAGCGTCTCAGTGGAGGGTCTGAGCAGTGACAATGGACTGCAATCAAGGTAAACACGCTGCGAGTCAATAGGGAGGTTTAGTTACACGTAACGGATACGGGAACGTGGGTAATACGTTCATACAATGTTGTGTTTAGTTACATAGAACAAACAAAGCATGAAACGAAAGGCCCGAACTTAGCAAAGACGAAGCTTCGAAGCTTATCGAATGTTTCTCTTTCGCCCTTCCAAAACTTTTTCAGCTCGGATCACCCTCGCAGCTTGCACAATGCGTTCCATTCTGACTTCCACTCACATTCTGGCGTAACGTGGGTGAGCCTCCATACACGGTATGTCGTGAATCGGAAAACAGCTATACATGGGTCACTGAGTATCACGTGGTACACACACGTAAAGTACATACGGATTACGTGGGACTAAACCTCTCTAGTGTTATGCAGGGTTAATAACGTGTTTGTCACAGGTAAATTCATAACGGGTCAACAAATTCTTTCCAAGAATAAAGCGCAACTTCAAACAAAGACAAAAAGAAGAAAAAGAAATTAGGTCCCATTTGCATCTTTCCCTCAAACCCGTGAAGACAGTAGGTGTACAGACTGAGTAATCGTTTGCAATGGGTGGTCATGTGACTCTGGGGTGTTCTGTTAACCAGAATAGGTGGTGGCACACGTATCCACTGCTGCCGCCGCCAAGATCAGCCATCCCAAGAGTGCACGCAACTGGAATGCTGTAGAACATGTGATTTTACTGAGCCTTGGTGTACTAGGATTTCGGTATCAGGGACCAGCCAGTACCTGGTTTCAGGTGTAATCAAGAGTACATAACCCCCCAGAGTGTGCAACTCCCACATACCCTGCTGTCCCGACAGAATTTCAAGTTGACGTCATTATTTATGACGCAATGGTCCTTGCACCAGTGATTTACAACATGTGTACGGGTGTCAACGCATCACACGTTATTCTTTGCAATAATTTGTACAGGATCGATCGGCTTCGGTCAACCACAGGTTCCGGATTCGTCTGATAATCCGTGTACAGTGCGCATTGCATCATCAAAATGACGTCAACTTGAAATTCTGTCGGGACAGCACCCATAGTGGAGTTGCACACTCTGGGGGGTTATGTACTCTTGGTGTAATGTAGAAGTAGGTTACAAGGTTTCCTTTCACATACACTACACGATACAGTGCATGGTCTAGTGCCTTTCAAATTAAGGCTTTCTAGAATTCCTCTGCCACCTGAGCTGTAGCTAGATCACCAAAACGGGGGGATCCATCATACATGATAGCATTACCAGTGGGGGGGGAGATCCATCATACATGATAGCATTACCAGGGGGGGGGCATCATACATGATAGCATTACCAGGGGGGCATCATACAGGATAGCATTACTAGTGGTGTAAATCTATGATGCGTGTCAGTGCTGCTAGTCGCACTTGGACTGGGTGCATTAACATTGTGTGAAGTGGTACCAGCTAACTGTTGTGGCTTACCAAGCCATGAAGTACAGTTCGGCAGGCTAGTTGTTATCATTCGTCTTTACACTGTCAGTGTGAAGTCTTCAAGTTTGTTTTTTTGCTATGTGTTGTTGCTATGTGTTGTTGCTATGTGTTGTTGCTATGTGTTTTGCTTTTACAATCCAAGCTATACTGTAAGGCAACAAATATTTGTCTGATTTGTATTTTTGCCTATTTTTGGCCTGGGCATTTTTTGCTAGAATACGGCTGCTTTTACAGTATTGCAATGCTTGTGGTGTTGACTTTATTTGTGAATTTTTCTGTGTGTTGACTGAAGGCGATCGTACTGCTGCTGCAGCTGCTGTGGGTGCACCAGCAGCAGGCGGTGCAGTGGTGCTGGGCCGTGGACATGTGACATTGCTGAGTAGGGAGGAGCTGGAGGACAAGTATCTACGTTTGAAGGAAACACACCAGGTACATAATTTTCAATTGTTTTTTGTATTTTTTGTTTTTCACAAGATGGGCACAAACCATCATAGTGCAAACACCAGCAAAAAAGTACGGGGAGGTACATGGCGATGTCAGTACATGGGGGTAGATAGCGATGTCAGCCAAGACAGTGGAGTACTTTAGATATAGACGTTCTGCAACACGTTTTGCAAATGATGTCATTGTCCAGAAGGTAATCGATTGATGCGTGTGATGCGGGCTCTGTGATGCGTGCAGGAAACAAAAAAGCTCAACAAGACACAGGAAGAAAAGATGAAGCGGTAAGCACCTGCAACTGACATGTCTGCCTGTAACATGTGTGTCTGCATGTCAGCCTGCGACGTGTCTTGTCTACTTTCCTGCCGGTATGTCCATGGTATGTGCCTGTTGGCATGCCCCTCCCCCTCTCCCCCCCCCCCCCCCCCACCCACCCTCTCTCTCTCTCTCTCTCTCTCTCTCTCTCTCTCTCTCTCTCTCTCCTCAGGGAAGATTCTTGTATCTCCGGAGTAAACGTTGACCGTTTTCTTGCTCCAATCATGTGTGTCTAATGCCGCTACTTTACATTCCATTATAGTATTGCAATATTGTCGGAGTAGGTATTCAGTGAGAGATCAAAGTTTTGCACACTCGTATACACATACACACACACACACACACACACACACACACACACACACACACACACACACACATGCACGTGTACATGCACGTGGAATAGAGCAATGTTAGCGTAATCTATTGTTAGCCGCACACTGTCGGATTGACACCCTGACCTACAGTAAAACCTGTAACTAAAGACCACCGTGACTAGCGACCAGCCTGGTACTACAGACCACCGTGACTAGCGACCAGCCTGGTACTGCAGACCACCATGACTAGCGACCAGCCTGGTACTGCAGACCACTTCGCCAGGTACGGGCGGTCTCACATCCGTATTATGGTTGTGCGGTGCAAACCTCTAACTGAGGACCACCTGCCACTAAAGACCGCTTTTTCTGCCCCAAGGGGTGGTCTTTAGTCACAGGTTTACTGTAGCTGTTGTTCTGATTCTGGGTTTCATGACTCTACCACCCGTGCAGCATGGCAACAAAGTTGATTCGCCTGACAGATGACTTCAAGAAGGAGAAGAAAGGTAACCAGTGGTCCACACAACCATGTTCTCTCTGTACAGGTGGCATCCTGAGGATTTGCACTCCTCCCGATGCGCCGCTTCATCGATATTTCTTCAGATTTTGAAGTCTGCATGTGACCATGCAGTCATGCACAGACACGGTGTGTAGTAGTGAATACAACTGACATGCTGCTTGTATTAGCAAGAGTACATAACCCCCAAGAGTGTGCAACTCCAGCTATGGGGTCTGTGGCGGCAGAACTTCACATCACGTGATGAACCCGTACACATTATTTGCACCCTGTGCATGATTGATACAGGGTTGTACGCAACCCAGCTTTGGGTACAACTCTCTTGTGGTCACTTTGCACTGTTAGCCAGCATAACCTTTTGAACCATGTCACGTGATGTGAAGTTCTGCTGTCGCAGCGCAGCATAGAGGTTGTGCAGGCAGTTGCACACTCTTGGGGGTTATGTACTCCTGGTGTTAGTCATGTTTAAGTCTGCGGGTCCTTTTTCCACTGGGTCGTTTAGCTAAAGTATTGTTATTCGCAGGAAAGGAAAGGACCAAGGAACTGCAGGTAACAAGTTAGTTGTAGAACGCCAGTACTGTCGGTCAGTGTCGTGTAATGTTATCTCATGAGGTGATCGTCAAGTAACCGGTGGTATTAGTGGACATTACAGCGTGACTTGTACTTCCTTGGTCCTTTTCTTTGCTATAAATTAATCCTTGGCCCTCCATCCGAGAAGTCTATCTATTTGTTCTTTGGTTTCTGTTTGGTGTGCTAGTGTCTGGTATTGACGTGGATAGTCGAGAACTGGTGGAGGACTTGAGACGCCAGGTCCAGGAACTAAAACAGAAGAATGTCTCGGTTTCCAGAAAGGTGAATAACTGAATATGCTAGTCACAAGTCTAATCCTCGGTTAGGGTCGTCGCAAACGTTTTTAGTCGTCCCTGGAACATGGTTCATTTTGTACTCGGACCCCTCCCCGCCCTCCGAAACGAACGCAGCTTGCTATGCTGGACGACGAAGATCACATGCATGTACATATGTATGAACAGGGTCAGTCGACTTGAGATTTTAGCTCACACCCCCTCCCCCCCCCCCCCAAATGAACCATGTTCGTTTCAGGGCCGACAATTTTTTTTGCGACGATCCCTGATGCTCACCGTCCTTATTTATGCTCACCGTGAAACAATTACACTCATTCTCCAAGCTTTCTATCCAGTGTTTGAATGTTTGAATGATACGTCAATGTCCCGCCCTGCTGGATCAATGTAGCGGGTCCATCGTCACATTGTGAAATCCCCGTGTTTCTCTTCTGCTATCTGTGCTGTTTAGCTGCAGGTCTGCCGTCAGGAGTTGGCAGACTCCAAGCAGAAGACGGGACCGTATCGTAATGTGGCGGCCCGCATTGACACGGTATGTACGGCGTGTATGTGTATGTGTATGTGTATGTGTGTATGTGTATCTGTCAGTAACCGTGTTAGCAAGGCACTAGCACAAGTGAAACTGCCAACTCATGGTATACACTTAGCTCCCATTAGCAAGTCTGCCGACTCACGCTGCTGTAACGTTATACTTAGGGCCCATAACGGAATCCGCTAGAAAATATTTTGCAAAGCCCGTATGGTTGCTCCGACCAACTTTACATCTTGCTACATGTATACATGAGCTGATGACGTCGGACTGCTCTTAGAAATGGGAACTCTTGTTTCGACTGATGGTGTGTTGTATTTGTAGTAATCATGATGAGACCGTCCACAGTACTGCATGTACATGATTGTATGTGTGTCTACTGTAGGGGATTTCCCGTCCTCAGCATGGCAGACACAGGGCTGAGTCACATGACAGGTGGGTATTACACAGCTTTCTGACCATCACCATGTAATGTTGATGGTTCAATCTACTGGGCACACCGTTTTCAAACTGTCGTTTTCGAACCAGCCTGGCACACCCGTACCTGGCACAACTCTTACATGATTATACTGCGCACTCTGTTCACTCGTACCTACACTAGCTGCAGCCTGCCAAATCAGTGTGTACCCCTTGAAAAAGTAATCGACGTGACTCACAGCCGGGGTCACAAGTTACCCGGTGCTATTTTTCGAACGGATTCAAGTAACTTACCCCAACCCCTAGCGACCCACTCTTCCCTAGCGACCCACTCTTCCCTAGTTACCCACTCTTCACTAGCTACCCACTCTTCCCTAGCTACCCACTCTTCCCTAGCGACCCACTCTTCCCTAGCTACCCACTCTTCCCTAGCTACCCACTCTTCCCTAGCGACCCACTCTTCCTTAGCTACCCACTCTTCCCTAGCTACCCACTCTTCCCTAGCGACCCACTCTTCCCTAGCTACCCACTCTTCCCTAGTTATTATTATTATTATTTATTCATATTTTGATAGGGCAATCCCCACAGACTCAAGGTCTTCTTACTAGTTACCCACTCTTCCCTAGCTACCCACTCTTCCCTAGCAAGCCATTTTTCCCTAGCTACCAACTCTTCCCTAGCTACCCACTCTTCTCTAGCGAGCCATTTTTCCTTAGCGACCAACTCTTCCCTAGCTACCCACTCTTCCCTAGTTACCCACTCTTCCCTAGCTACCCACTCTTCCCTTGCTACCCACTCTTCCCTAGTTACCCCTTCTTCCCTAGCTACCCACTCTTCCCTAGCGAGCCATTCTTCCTTAGCTACCCACTCTTCCTTAGCTACCCAGTCTTCTCTAGTGACCCACTCCCACATCAGCATGTGATTGTTCGTCATGTATCATTAACCCATTTCTTCAACCACAATAATATCATCACTGCATGGTCAACTCATTTCTCCCATACAATGCATAGTGAGCTTTCTTTTACTTATTCTTCATCTTTCATCAACACTCTAGCCACAATCAAGGTTAGACGGGCTGGCAGAAGTGCCCGTGTATCTGGTGAAGCGAAAATAGAAACAAGCAAGCAAACAAACAAACAAAACAAACTCGCAACTTATTACTGTGCTGTATTCTTCACCCAGGGCAGGCAAAGTAGCAGTATCATCAGCTGGAGTTCAACACTCGCCTCCACCAGCCATGGTACCCAGGTTAGTGACATGCTTGCAGACTACTGTATAAGACTTAGTACAAATTTTCGTTCACGAAATCTTTCGTTAGATCACTCCATCGGCAGGCTTGTTACTTATTATCTTTATTCTCGAGGTCTTATCACCCCGAATGTTCAGAAAAACTCTAGTTTGGTACAAAGTTTAGTTATTTCGTGCCCCTAACGAATATAGCAACAGTTTGTACCTACACAGTACTGTACCTTAGGCCTGTGGGGATTGCCCTATCAAAAATTTGATAATAAAAATAGCGCCATTGCTGGTAGCTCGGCCTACTTAGCTCGTAGCTGTACTGACGAGGCCTTTTTGATAGGGCAATAATAATAATAATAATAATAAGGCTTGGTGGGGGAGACTCCTCAATGCCTTCGGACTGTGCAGGGAGGAGACCTGGCTATTGTGCAACAGGAGGCTATACAAGGTTCGATTAAAATACTGAGAACTATCCTTAACATGTAGATGCACCTCTGCTGCGTTTGCATGTTCAATAGCTAAGAGACTTGAATAACGACTGATAAAGACTGATATTTCCTTTGTTACTACTCCCTTCATTGGTTGATGTATTTTGCCTGTCGCTGCAAATTCTTTATTATTGTTTTGATGTTGGAGTTCGGATTGAGTTTCTTTCCTTTCTTCCTCTTCCTTCAACTAGTTCTTGTCCCTTTGGTTTTTAGGTTTTATTTATTTATTTATTTTGTTTTTGTTTTTTCACTTTCTTTTTGCTGTCCCACCCATGGAAATATTTCCCGGTGGGTCTGGCTTATCGCCTTCGAAAGAAGTGAATAAAGGAGAAATAATACCCTCAGCCAAGGTACTGACCTGTACCCAGGTTTAATATGCTGACAAATAGCAGCAAATGCATGCAGCGAGATTAGCCCTCCTTTTTGTTTTCTTCAAGCTGCTGTCTCCGGAAACAATTGCTAACAAATAAATTAAAACGGCCTTGCTAACAACAAGGTGGTAAGTCTCCCGACCTATGCTCGATAAGTCACGAACCTTGTTAGCTGGATCTATGTTACTCTCACTCCGAGTATTGAGTACCCAGTTGACCGTGGGTGTTGGCGCAGTTCATTGCATGTAAAATGGTTCACGCATGCATCGCTGCATGTGTTAGCACAGTACACGCTACCTGCCACCTCTCTCTCTCTCTCTCTCTCTCTCTCTCTCTCTCTCTCTCTCTCTCTCTCTCTCTCTCTCTCTCTCTCTCTCTCTCTCTTTCTCTCTCTCTCTCTCTCTCTCTCTCTCTCTCTCTCTCTCTCTCTTTCTCTCTCTCTCTCTCTCTCTCTCTCTCTCTCTCTCTCTCTCTCTCTCTCTCTCTCTCTCTCTCTCTCTCTCTCTCTCTCTCTCTCTCTCTCTCTCTCTCTCTCTCTCTCTCTCTCTCTCTCTCTCTCTCTCTCTCTCTCTCTCTCTCTCTCTCTCTCTCTCTCTCTCTCTCTCTCTCTCTCTCTCTCTCTCTCTCTCTCTCTCTCTCTCTCTCTCTCTCTCTCTCTCTCTCTCTCTCTCTCTCTCTCTCTCTCTCTCTCTCTCTCTCTCTCTCTCTCTCTCTCTCGCCGTTTATTACACTGCATCTGCCACCCGGGTATAATCAGGAATGGTGGTGCCTGGCACGAGCGAAACGTCTCCGAGCTGGTTGTGTTTCTCAACACAAGTGTATAGCCTACGGTGGTAACGTGTATGTGCTATCTTTACTTTACTTACTTGCTTGCTAACAATGTGTACTCTAACACTATCTGCCATACCCCCGTTGTGTCGCTATATACACTGTACATGTAGCGACGAGCCATCTCAATGTCTGGGGTGCCTCCTTTGCACCATTGCTGGTAGCTCGGCCTACTTAGCTCGTAGCTGTACTGACGAGGCCTTTATGACCGAAACAGCTTGCTCGCGGTCTACAGCATTGGGTACAATGTACATGTATGCGGTACATGTGTGCTGTGGAGCAGGTATGGGCATAGCTTGCTGGAAGAGGAGCGACAACGTACCACTGAGCTACAGGAAGTCATCCTTGAGCTGGAGGAAGAGCTTGAGCAGCAGAAACAGCTAAGGGCGGCTGAGCAAGAGACCACGGTCGAAAAGGCGAGTAGCATTCAAACCACTCTAAAGTACAGAGTATCCATGTTCACACACAAAGCAATGGTGAATATGAATGATTAGATATTTTTCTTTTAGTGATTGGTGTAGCCCAGAGACCGTTTGGAGAGTGTTGTGAAGATGTATGGATATAGTGGATAGCTACAGTGGAGTCTTCGCACTTTGAGAAAAGCAATGGTGTACGCAGTAAATTTTTTTAAGTCAATATACAAAAGAGAAAGGACCAAAGTCAATATGCTGAACGAAAAATTGGCGGCTTAGATCCAGAAAGACATAGCCATTCCCCAAGTATGTATGACATAATGCATGTCTGACCCTTGTCTGAGGTTTGCCTGGATAACCTCTACTACGTGAATGTGTGTGTGTATGTGTGTATGTGTGTATGTACTCGAATGCGCAGATGAAATTACAGCATGCCAAGTATAGCGAAGACATGGAGAAATTACGGCAGTCTCTTGTCCACACACAGAGGTAAGCCACACTATCAGCTTGTTCACGATGACAGTTTAGTGTTGGACGGACATGCATGGTACACTGCATACTGGCTGGTCACCATAGTGCAGGGCTGTTGGACGACGAAGAACGGAGTGCCAAAAAAACGACCAGGCTAGAATTTCACCAAGCACAGCACGCCAGTGTATACACGGTGACTCAACTGTGCATAGACTGTAGTACATGAGAATAGGAACGGTCTAGGCTAAGAGACTAACCCCCCAGTTATTTGGTGACCAACAGTATTGTACTTATGCTGCAGTGCATACTCAAGAAGACCACAGCTGATTCCCTATGTGTACCACTACAACACCGTTTCCACAACATTCGATTAATGTCACACTTATACTTTTGGATTAGTAGGTGGGTAGCCACGAGTCGTTGGTGTGTCATGAGTGAATCGTCAGTGAGTTGTCGGTGAGTTGTCGACGAGTCGTTGGCGAGTCATGAGTGAGTCATCAACATCTTATTCCTCTGTTGTTAACATAATCTCTGGCGTGACCTCACTCCAATTGTATTTCCTTTGGAAATGCTATCATGGCTTCGTTTCTTGAAATATCTCCTAGCTGGATGCGGGCGGTGGACGGTGAGAAATCTCTGTTGCATGCCAGCACGATTCATCACATTGTGATGCAGTCTAGGGACAGTCCCTCACCATCTCAATCACTCTGATTCATAGTGCCTAAGCTGTTGGGGATAGTTCCTCACCATCGCTGGTACTTGATGCTGCTAAAGCTGTGGGGGACAGTCCCTTGCCCTTGCTGTCACTACGATTCATACTACCAAAGCTGTTGGGGACAGTACCTCACCATCGCTGGCACTTCATGTCGATTATAAGATGGTTGGGGACAGTCCCTTGCCCTTGCTGTTAAGCTTGCTGAGGACAGTCTCTCTCCATCGCTGTTACTATTATCTATGCTGTTGCAATGTTGGGGACAGTCCCTCACCCTTCCTGGGACTTTGATTCTGCTGCTTAAGCTTGTTGGGGAAAGTCCTCATAGCCAGCAATCGCATGTCATCACGTACATTGAAAATCAACATAATTTTTCGAATCGACCTTTTTTTCAGGATCACTTTTCAACGAGGACGAAGCAAAGTCGGCCGAACGAAGCCTAGAGGAAGAAAATCACCCTCTCCACTTCACCATCACGATACTGACATAGATACGAGATGAAACAACTAAAAAATCCACAAGAAAACTGTACGACCATCATCGCGCTGACTTTGGTCTGACTTTGGTCTGAGAATTTCTATCACGATCAAAAATGTACGAGGAGCTCTCAAAAATAAGCAACAGACGTACCTCTATCGCTCTCTACTCCTTTTTCAAGGCCCAAAAGTCGACTCTCCACTTTCAAACCAGGAACCAGACATACCAGTGGTCCTTTTCAGCTGCTCCACGAGCGCAGGAAATGTTCACCAAGGGGCGCAGAGCAGCATCCATTCCAGAAAAAGAGCTAAAATACGAGTGAGACTGCATGCCTGAGTACATGAGTACATGTATGAGTACATGCAGAAAATAGTCAATTTCAGCGTTTCTGCTCCAAACAGCAACTAGCTTCGACTAGAAACAAAGATTACACCAAAGGATCAAACAACAACCATTTTCTGCAGTTTTTTTGCAGATGGCTTCCTTGTGCTTGGCCCAGCCAGGGAGCCCTACACATACACGTATGTGTAGGGCTCCCTGGGCCCAGCACGCCAAAAATCACACCTCGGAGGAGTACAAAAATTACAACTCTCAGATGTCCTCGATTGCTGGCCATGCTTGCCTTGTCATCACTCTGTTCCATGCTGTTTACATTACATGCGCCGCAGGAAGAACATCTCGGATGACGTGTCCCTTATAAAGCTGCAGCGGGAAGTCAGAGAGAAGTGTGCGCAGCTTGAGGCATTGCAGACGAAATACTTGACAGCCGAACAGGTAAAGAATTCGTGATAATCTGCAGTGAACGGGCTTTCTCCAGGACAAGCACAAAACCTAGTATGGTTTGATCGTATACCTTTCACAATATTGCTCAGTGACCATTGCTGGATGCTTCCTGTGCCACTACAGCTTTTCATGATCCATTAAAATGCTATTTCCTTGACTTTGATACTGAGTCTGGTGCACGCGCTGGACCAGCACCCTGCAGCTGTTGACTTTTGTACAATTCAGCTCAGCTATGGAGTATGGTGCTGCTGAGTTTACTTGTTAGGAGAGTTAACAGAGAGGTTATTAAGCTGCACGTTATTGTGGAGGTGACGCGCAATTTCACGTCAAATTTGGCTTAAAACTCAAATTTTGACTTGAGCTGCAGGTCGCGTGCGTTGTTTTCCAAACGCGCGAGCCAAATAGCGCGAGCAGAAGTTTCACGTCACATCAAAAATAGCGTGCAGCTTAATAAAGAAATAACCTCTCTTGTATGTGAGCGTGATTGGTGTGCTCATTCTGTCTCCGTTTTAGCAAGTGGAAAAGCTGAAAGTGAACCACTCCAGCGTCCTATCTGAACTGTCAGACTTGCAAGAACGTTGCCAGGTGGTTAGTAGTGATATGCACATGCACATTGTCATCCTGCACATTGTCATCCTGCACATTATCATCCTACGCATTGTCCTCATACACATTGTCATCCTGCATATTGTCATCCTACGCATTGTCATCCTATGTATCGTTATCCTTCGCATTGTCATCCTACGTATTGTCATCCTACGTATTGTCATCATACGTACTGGCATCCTCAGACATGTTGTTAGCCAAGGAATAGTTGGCAACACTAGTCATGCATGTCTCTAAGTTACGACTGAGTCATGGTATATACTGAGTCAGGTATGGTGCCTGAAGATTCACTAAGATGGTCATGAAACTCGGAGTAGCAACAGAATGGTGTGTAAGTACTAGTGAGGACTGGACTGGACCATGGCTGTACATGTATTGTTGTTGTACTTGGTAACGGTGAACTGGGACGACTGCAAGTAAGCAGGCTTGTGTCACGGTTGGGGATGGATGCATGGCAGTGTGACTGCCTGAGAAAGCAAAACACAAACACGCACGCACGCACGCGCGCGCGCGCGCCCACACACACACACACACACACACACACACACACACACACACACACTTGTTGTGCCTTGTGTACATTGTATGCCGAATGTCCGTATGTCGATTTGTGTACTTCCAGGAGGAAGGCAAATGTCAAGAATTACGCTCAGCGTTAGCTGGCCAGAAGTTGACAAATGCTGCTATCACAGAGGTAATGTTCAAGGGTCCATTGCATTCGGTCAGTTCTCAAAGCTACTTACCAGTAAGATGATCCATTGGTGCAGATTGACTCCAGGAGTCCTCGTCTACACGGATATTAATAATTATTATCATTTTACTCAAGTTTCACGTGTACTCAACCAGCATCATTAAAAATCATTCTAATGTCAAATCGGGGAAATGGGCTCTTATAATATGTTGCAAAGGAGAGCGATTTCTGTGTGCAGGCCTTTTTCTATGACAGTACATGTATATTGTGATTGCTGAAGGGCACCATGTCACCATGGCACCATGTCACCATGGCACCATGTCTGCAAAGTACTAGTAATGTAGTGATGTGCATAGTATCAGATATCAGCAGCAGTACTGGCATATCACAAGTTTATTATTATTAAAAAGGCGACGTGGAGACAATAATCTTAATAATGCAATGAATATAACTAAATGCGCACTCATATCACAACCATGGGGACGAATCATGTATTCCAGAACGTTTTCTTGTCACAATTATCAATGGAATTCGTGACTAAAGAGAATGATGAAACTACAATAGGATTTATACACTTGCAGTGGAACAGCGAGGATACAAGCATAGTAAGAAAAATATAGCACAAACCTTGGAACAATTTGCACAGGTAATAAATTATAGGTGAGGTGAGAAATGATAGGAAATTCAGCAAGTGCAGTGTGACAATGGACATGCATGTGCAAGTGTGTGTGAGTGCGAATTTACTGGAATAGCGTAAGTGCGGTGACATTTTCTTTTTGTTTACAAAGATTTGGATCACGAATGCGAATGTAGACTGCTTCTAGAACTTTCAACTGCAAAGAAAATGTCAACTTCAAAGAAAATGTCACCGCACTTACGCTATTCAGGGCCAGTAAATTCGCACTCACACACACTTGCACATGCATGTCCATTGTCACACTGCACTTGCTGAATTTCCTATCATTTCTCACCTCACCTATAATTTATTACCTGTGCAAATTGTTCCAAGGTTTGTGCTATATTTTTCTTACTATGCTTGTATCCTCGCTGTTCCACTGCAAGTGTATAAATCCTATTGTAGTTTCATCATTCTCTTTAGTCACGAATTCCATTGATAATTGTGACAAGAAAACGTTCTGGAATACATGATTCGTCCCCATGGTTGTGATATGAGTGCGCATTTAGTTATATTCATTGCATTATTATTATTATTATTTATTCTTTTGCTTGTTCGCGTTGGCATCAACCTGCATAAAGCAGGTATTTAGCCTTCGCTTAAGCTGCCATAAAAAAGAAAGCTCATCCTAAGCGAGAGGGCTAGAGGAAAAGATAACGATAACGAGATACAGAAGTACCGTTATCTTTGTTGTTTGCAGCTGCAGGAAATGGTGGATGACCTCCGCGCAGAAAAGAAGCTTTTACAAGAAACCAATGACACACTGCTTTCATCGTAAGTTTTGTACAACCAGGTTTATTTGTTTAGGTTTGTTAACGACTGACAGTGTGTGTATGTGTATGATGATGACACTGTCTGATTGATAGACAGCTGCCTGAGCCGGGGAAGCAAGATAACAGTTGCTTGAGTCTCACATTAGCAAAGCCGACAGGATCTGTTTTGTTTGTTCATCCGTCCCGCACTTTGTCTGTCTGTCTGTATGTCTCTCTTACACACACATGTACACCCACCCCCCCCCCCCCACACACACACACGCACACACACACACACACACACACACACACACACACACACACACACACACACACACACACACACACACACACACACACATATACAAACACACACGAACACACATTGTCGTTTTCTCAGGTCGTTTGATATGAAACAAGAAAGACAGCACAAGGCTCAGCTACAGCTTCTGCAGGTCAGTGGTTGTGTATGTGCTGCTACTGCTAACCACTTCATATATGTAACTTCCTAGTCCTGCTAGGCGCATAATATCGATATACTTCTACTGCTAGGCACACTATATTCCAGTGCGGACCTCTGCACTACGCATGACACAACTAAACAATGCCTGGATTTGTAAGTAAAAAAAGTAAATTATCGTGTTCGTTCCCGAACGGAGCTCACGACGGCCGCTAACACCCGGTAAGCTCTAGCGGCAGATGCAGCGTCTAACGGTACACAGAACAAACTCTCCATCTTAAATAGTGCCCCGGGACAGCTGTCTAAGCTATGCTGGCAAGGTCATGTTCTCCTTATAGAATTCAGTCTGAAGAGAATAGGGAATCGGCAGACTTAAAACGCTCGAGGTTACATGCATGCGTGTGTGTGTGTGTGTGTTTGTATGTGTGTGTGTGTGTGTGTGTGTGTGTGTGTGTGTGTGTGTGTGGATGCGGGCGTGCGTGTGCTGTGCATGTGGACAGGATCGAATGGATCTTCTGGAGTCCGGCAAGAAGCAGCTGCTACAAGAGAAGAGTGATCTTCTTGAGCAGCTTGCCACAGCAAAAGGTACTACTGGTGTACTACTGGTGACGTTGTCCACTTGTTAACCCTGTTGCCAGTACCCATGCATGTCGTATACTCAGTGAAGCCTTACTGCCTGCGTGATACTATATCTATGGTGAAGAGTGTTGGTTACTCTGTTGACTGTTGTCATGCCAACAGTACTCTAGTAGTTTGCTCTTCGTTTGGTGTGTGCTGTGTGCTGTTTGCTGTGTGCTGTGTGCTGTGTGCTGTTTGCTTGGTCTAAATAATGATCTAGCTTTGAAGATCCGTTTTGTACGATTTTGTCAGAGTAGTCCGTGTCTGTTGTGGCCATTGTCTGCCATGCACCTTGGTATTCTTATTGGTAATGCTGGTTCATTCCTCTCCCCAAGCTATTGTTTTCCGCGGTGTAACTGGTAATTGTTTGTATGTGTGCGCATGTGTGTGTTTGTGTTTGTGTGTGTACATGTGTGTGTGTGTGTGTGTGTGTGTGTGTACATGTGTGTGTTTGTGTGTGTGTGCATCCTGACAGAACAGCTATCGGCTGCGGATAAGGAAATGCGTGCCACAAACCTCAAGTACTTCACGCTGAAAGAAGAGCACGAGAAATTGAGTGAAAAGATGGAATTCTTCTCCACGGTATGTGTACGAGTTACTACTGATCCAATGGCCTGGTTGGAGTGGATAACACAGTGCTGAGCCAAGTACTAGTATTCATGATATGCTCTTGACTAGTTTAAGGGAAAGACACGAACGGGAAAAGTCTGAAGAAAAAATTGACTGTCACCACCAGGACTCGAACCAGGGACCCTCGCTTGTAGCTTGCGATGCTCTAACCACTGAGCTATGGTGGAGTCATCATCCCAGCAGAGCTCGTTCAACGTTTTCTTCAGACTTCATGATATGCTCAATCTATTCAGGGCTTTAAAGTGCTACGTCACAGCCATGGCAACGCTAACCTGTGGACCCAGTTCCGTAGTCATAGCCATGGCAACGCTAACCTGTGGACCCAGTTCCGTAGTCATAGCCATGGCACCGCTAACCTGTGGACCCAGTTCCGTAGTCATAGCCATGGCACCGCTAACCTTTGGACCCAGTTCCGTAGTCATAGCCATGGCACCGCTAACCTGTGGACCCAGTTCCGTAGTCACAGCCATGGCACCGCTAACCTGTGGACCCAGTTCCGTAGTGTCTTGTATTAAAGCCTATCTCATATAGAAGCCTGTTTTGAATACCAGCCTGATTATCAAGATACACTACCGGCACATAAGCCTGGTTTTAGTGCTGACATGCATAGAAACACCTGGCATGAATAGAAGCCTGATGTGAATAGAAGCCTAGCCCTGACATCGGCTTCTACAGGAATATGCCCGGCTTTAATAGCACATTAGAGCTTGCGGTAATGTAGGTTAACACATTGCACAAGCCACCACTTCACACGCGCTCCAGCAGCTTCCAAAGAGCCCGCAGATCCCACGCTATTCATTGATGCATGTCAAGTAACACGTACATGCATGCTGTGGTGGCATGTAACATGCGTACGCCGGAACTCACCTGAACTCGCCAGCCAACCAGCCATATGCGGCTGCAGCACACATCGGAGCTTGAGCCCGTAACGCATACACCATACTTCGCGCTGGCCGTATTGCTACTTCATATTTGCTTTGCTTGGGTAGTGAGAAGAACACCGGTTTGTTCCTTTCTCGTGTTAACACGCAACATTATGATACAGTGCTGGCAACTGAAATCCGACCCCCTGAGCGGTGTGCAAAGAATGTGAACCCACCGCTCAGGGGGTCGGATTTCAGTTGCCAGCACTGTATTTGCATGGATCCATACACGTTTGGGTGACTTTCCTTCACAGCATATTGACACATCCACCAATAGTGACTAGACTGGGCCCTCTCGGTCACGACCCATGCTTGGTACAGAAAACTACACGTTCGTGTGATGAGAGGAGTCCACCCACCACATCCCATACTTCGCTGTGGGCAGAGTGGATCCGAAAGTCGATAATTGTCGTTAGATTTTGACTTCTGACGACTTCTGACGTCATTGCCTTCAAGCCCTATTTTTTGAGTCATTTCTTGGAATATCGGGCGTTCTGTCACCATCATGCTGTGTTTGTTTTGGCCCGATGTAATTTTTCTATTGTGAAGATGTTGTGTTGCTGATGCATTTTCAGTCAAGCTGGTGTCGTGCTAACCAAGCTGGTGTCGTGCTAACCAAGCTGGTGTCGTGCTAACTAAGCTGGTGTAAAATTCATATATCAATCTTCGTTGGTGACATTGTAAGGCGTTCCGTTGTATATGTGTTATGTTGCCGTGACACTGGATGGTAGTGGGTGGAACGCTTCCTGTGACACGGCTCGGAATGAGCCATTTTCGAACTTGCATGCATTCCAACCGCTTGAGCCGCCTGACCACGTCGCTAAGTTCTGCTGGCCATCAAAGGGCAGGTGTATGGCCCCGCCCTGTGTTGCATAGTCCAATGTGACCTCCTCTTCCACCCTGTGTTTTTTCCCACTCTTGCCGTCTTGCAGCAAAGTTCTGTGAACTTCACCGAGTTGGAGGAAGCGCTGGCCTTTATCAAGGTACTACATGTACATGTGTACTCATAGCACAAGTACATGTACTGGTTTACATGCTGCTTGCTGTTCAGGCTGCTGAGTGATGTTAACATTCTCATGAGTATTCCCACTACGGTGTTTCCCCAGCATATTCCCAACATGCCCGACATTGTGCCATTGTACTAGGTATGTGCTGCATGGTCAGCCGCAACTCTTTGGGTGATATGCTCTCTGCCATGGTATTGTTCTCTCCATAACTAGTATGCTGCTGCTGCTCTCTTTGATGTGCTCTCGGGTTGGGAATATGTGTGGCTCTGCCTGTGTTGGTGAATATGTGTGGCTCTGCCTATGTTGGTGAATATGTGTGGCTCTGCCTGTGTTGGTGAATATGGGTAGTCTGCCCAAATTGATCTGCCTCTGCTGATCACCTGTGTTGCTCTGGCTATGTTGATACGTGCGTGCGTGTGTGCGTGTGTGCGTACGTGCGTGTATGTTGATATGTGTGCGTGTTTATCACCTGTGTTGATGCGATAGGAAAGTAAACTGAGCGATGGCAGGAATATGAGTGCCCTGCATGTTTCTGACGAGGTCGGTGCTCTGGCTGCTGCAAAGAGTAAGTTATGGGGGGAATCCCCCTGTGCCCCTGAAACATGCATGTGAGGTCAAGAAAACAAAATCACGATGGTATCGCAAGTATGTGTAGCTTTGATCATGTGTTCGATATGCTGCATCTGCAATTGTTCCTAGGATCCTTCGTTCGAAATCAAATCAAATCACTTTTAAACCAGTGAATGGTGTAAAAGTCGGGTCTGGCATCATGTGCACTTCTATCAAAGTAATTTGTCAGATCTAGTTTTCTAGGTTTACTGTGGAGTTTAATTTGTCTTTGGACTTGCAGGTTTCGAGAATGGGATAGACCAGGGTCAATCATCACTATAGTATAGCAATGCCATTGGTTGTAGTGAAAAAAAGACTTATGACCAATCCCTTACCGATCATTTCCCCTGCACTTGCCGTGGATACTGTTCTTGACATAGTAATCGACACACAGAGTGTATGTATTAGAGCTGACTCAATATCTGCCGTGTCATTCATCCATCCATGTATTCATTAGTTGAAACCATCTGTTCCTTCCTCCAACAGTCAATCCTCTTGCTGTATAGCGATTGAAGCACATCCCTCCCCCCCCCTCCCCCCCCCCCCTCCCCCCCTCTCCCACCTGTGCAATAGCAGAGGCGTCGCACACGGTACGGTCACTACGGTGTTGACCGTACCACTATTTGCCCCAAGTACCCTGTGAATCAATATAATGCACTGATTTGGGCTCTAAATTTCCAAAATTTTTGGCTTAGCCATCCCTCCCCCAGGAGTAAATTGTACTTCAGATGGCTGACCGTACCACACTAAAATACCTTCCGACGCCCCTGAATAGTTAGCTGTAACGCTGGCTTCTGTCCTGTTCTGTGCCGTCACTGCATAGAACGTGCGGAGAGTGATCTTCATCGCTTGGAGACAGTCTACACACAGACGAGACAAGAGCTGGAAAAGAATCGCCATCTTCTCCGACTGCAGCTGAAGATCACCTCCGACGTCGAAGCCGAACGGGACCTCATTGAAAAGCGCTTGGCCGACGTCGAGGCAGAGAGTGAAGAGAACACAAAGGAACACAAGGACTCCGTGGCCAGACTACGAACGCGGATAAAACGTCTTGAGCAGCAGCTCCACGATATGGCGTATGGAACTAAGCAGCTTAAGGTCTCGGCACATCCAGCTGAAGACGTAAGTTGGAAACGGTCCGGTGAAGATACTTGCGACATGTGTGCAGTAAAGGTTTCCCAACAGTACGCGCAGACTCCATTGCAGCCATTCACACGTCAGGGTCCCTCATCTCAAACCCTCCACACAGTCCCTTTGCTGCACATTAAAAAACTTTTTTTTGCTAGATCCACGTAAACCCGTCATGTGTGAGCCATGAATAAGGGGAGTGGTGGCGTGGTCTGGGGCATGTCACAAGAATTGCCGGTTCACCACATTTAGTGACCTATGCAGTGAAGATGCTGTGTTGAGTGTTTGAGTTGATGGACACTGATATGCGTGTAGTAAGCGGCATTCCTGCGTGCTATACCCATCATCTATACGCACAGTATAGTGATGCGGGACTGTGAAATACTACTTGTGACGGACCTACATTCCGTGTCCCACGGCAACGACACCCAAACAGTCGTCAGTTGACGTCCTCTGGCCTGTAGCTGGATAACAACCTACTAGTAACTGTGTTTGCATGTCCACCGTGCCGGATCACGGCGTGCGTAGCTCTTGAGCAAGTCTGTCCACATACCACTGGACAGCACTGTTATCTTTCTATCATGGACATCATCTAGTGATAGTGTTAGATATCATAGTAGTGACATCATCATGACATCATGGCTGCCATATTCTGATCTCTGTCACTCAAATGTGTTAAAGGGGAAGTTAAGGCAAAAATTAAAATTTCACCAGTTGTAGTCTTCGGGGTGCTGAGTCGAATGGTCGTGGTCCGAGGAAGCTGAGACGCTCCCTTCCTACTTGAATCCCAATCGAACTCGCGCATTTCCACCGAAACTGGGTGACTGCGCCCTACTAGATGGGGATTTGTATGCAAAATGTCACTAAAAGCGCCATTTCGTTCTTATAAAAGCTGGATGACCGCGATTGGCCCATATGTTGTAGTCTTTTGGACGCTGAGTCGATTGGTTTTGGTCCGAAAAGGCTGCGATGCAGCGTTCCTCCTTTATTCCCAATCGAACATGGTTGAACAAGCGGTCACGTGCTCCTGCGTACGCCAGTCACCTGGTCACCGTGCCTGCAGGGTACAACTTACTAGCCTGTTTGACCTTTTTTGGGTGCAGTCCTGTCACTCGAGTTGAACTCGAGTTGAACCTTGGTGTGAAAGTTCTCGCCTGCTGGCGTGGTGACCACGTGATTTGGGCACCCAGGAGCACGTGACCGCTTGTTCAACCATGTTCGATTGGGAATAAAGGAGGAACGCTGCATCGCAGCCTTTTCGGACCAAAACCAGTTGACTCAGCGTCCAAAAGACTACAACATATGGGCCAATCGCGGTCATCCGTGCTTTTATAAGAACGAAATGGCGCTTTTAGTGGCATTTTGCATACAAATCCCCATCTAGTAGGGCGCAGTCACCCGGTTTCGGTGGAAGTGCGCGAGTTTGATTGGGATTCAAGTAGGAAGGGAGCGTCTCAGCTTCCTCGGACCAAGACCATTCGACTCAGCACCCCGAAGACTACAACTGGTGAAATTTTAATTTTTGCCTTAACTTCCCCTTTAACCTGGTGGTTGCCATGGTGACTGAGCTACTGCTGTTATTCCTGTACTGTTGCCGGTGGTTGCAGGATGTTGCTGAAACGCTGGCTTTGCAGCCGGGGCAAAATCGCCTGCAGATTCACCTCGGAGAGGTGAGCGTATGTGCTTTTGGTGCGGGCAGGAATTGAGTCTGATGGTCCATAGGCATTTCAGGTTGATTGGTACAGCCTAAATCAGGGATCGTACATTGGTCCGAAAATGGTTGCAGTGACCACATTCTACCTGCAATGGATGATATCTGTTATTGCGCTGAAGTTATAGTATGATTATCATACTATAACTTCAGCGCAATAATTAAAGCGAGTCAGAGTGCATTCAACACACGCACACACACCATTATCAAGGTTATGTATCCTTGAACGTTTTCGTTGCCATCTCATCAGGAGGATTTTACTGGCATATTTATGAATAAACGCGCGCGCGTGTGTGTGTGTGTGTGTGTGTGTGTGTGTGTGTGTGTGCGTGTGTGTGCGCGCGCGCGCGCGCGCGCGCGTGTGCGTGTGCGTGTGTGTGTGTGCGTGTGTGTATGTATGTGGATGTGGATGTGTGCATATATGTGTGTACGTATGCGCGTGCGTGTGTTGTATGCGTGGTGTACATGTGTGCATGTGTGCATGGTAAACACAGTTTGAGTTAAGTGAAGACGGACGTGAAGCGTTTGGCAGCTCCATTCCACCACTATCCTTCCTCTCCCTGGACTTCTTGGATTTTGAACTCACGGTTACCAGCACCATGGCAACGAGTGGGTAAGCTTGGCACGGTTCTCATGGAAACTAAAACATGTAGATGAACCAGTCATGTGCTCAGTCGGGTTAAGCCTGTGTTGGCAAGATAAAGTCTATAAAGCAACGAGGTATACAGATCCATCAGGCACACGAGCAAGAGGGAGTAGAAGGGTGTAGATTAATGTAAGACCAGTAATGTTAACGGACATTTAATTCTAACGAGTTAACGATATTGAAAGAATCGTTAGAACACCTGGTCTTGCAGTACCGTATATGCCAGAGTGTCAGTCGTACACAGATTATTTTGCTACGAAATGCAGACATCTGCCATGTATTTCACAGTTCAGTCGACCGTCGCAGTGGCTAATAAACTGCACTGACTTTTCGTGGGTGAATTGCGAGACACTGAACGTGTGGCTTATAGTCTGGAACATACCAACTTGTGCCCAGCCAAGGATTGCAGGCTGGCAGCATGTCACTAGATAGCCTGTACTATCAACTTGCATTAGGGCGGAGAACATCTGTTAGCATGATGGGAGCGGGTAACCGGGATGAAAGTATGCTGTGTGCTGTGTACATTCTTCTAGTCATGAGCACTGGGCAGGTACATGTGCATGTCACTGCATGCCGGGATGTGAGCTGGCATGATAGTATGTTTTGTGTATTTTCTCACCATTGGGCAGGGTCAGTCTAGCTGAGTCTCGAGCGAACCGTGATTTTCGGGGGGCGGGGAGGGGAGCAGGCTAATGGGTGTAGTATGGAAGTGCCGGACTGGCATTAGTGATAGGGTATGTTGTGTGTGTTCTTCTCAACACTGCGGGGCAGGTTGATGGATTTCAACTTCACGACGTGTTACACCGTCACAATGGATGACTTCCTTATACATTCTCTCAGAACGGTACGTTCAGTTGCCATGGCTACCACATTGAGCATACAGCTAGGCACCGAAGGTCAAATCTCAGCTGTTTTCTTATTCCTGTGAGAATGCCTCCCTCCCATCTTTGAACTATGGGTATTGCCAGGACCGGCGGAAGCAGTGTTGATTGGTCCGGCCATACCCTGGTACTCTAGCCTTTCATACAGTTTGTGTATGATATGGAGGGTAGTCACATGACTTTCATACAGTTTGTGTATGATATGGAGGGTAGTCACATGACTTTCATACAGTTTGGGCATGATATGGAGGGTAGTCACATGACTTTCATACAGTTTGTGTATGATATGGAGGGTATACACATGACTTTCATACAGTTTGTGTATGATATAGTGGGTACACATCACCTCCTCACCAGTAACACACATGTTGATGGCCAAAAAATTGATCCGGCCATGGCCTGACCAACCGGACCGGTTCCGCCGGGCCTGCTTGCTGACCATGTCGTCCGTTTCCACTGAAAGTGATGAATTGTTTTCGATGTGTAGACGGTCATGTCTCTATCTCTCTATGCTCTTCCAGGTCCCATGCAGGGTATGCTTTCACGGAGCATCAGGTGCATCATGGTCTACCATTGCGGCCGGCCATTTCCATCTCAGAGACCTGCTTTCGGAGACTAAACAAGATCGTCTCCATGGTACCGTCACGCTGATTGGTGGGTTTTGGCTGGTTGTATGCGTGTGTACCCGTATTCTCTTTCAATTCAATGTGTATAGGGTCGGGCGCTAACTTTAAGAGCATAATTATGACATTTTTTGAACAGTGCGTATAGAGTGAAATAGAAAGATCCAGACTGTCCAATAGAGTGCTTGATGTCCAAGGGCAGAGCTACGTACAACAAGAATGGGAGGGAGAAAAATGTCCAGAACTGGCATGCCATTCTCCAACATGTCATAATGTGGCATGTCGTTCTCCAACATCAGTGCCCTTCCCCAGGATGTCCTTCCACAGCATGTCATTCTCCAGCATGTCATTCTCCAGCATGTCTTTCCCCAACATGTCATTCCCCAGCATGTCATTCCCCAACATGTCATTCCCCAACATGTCATTCTCCAGCATGTCATTCCCCAGCATGCCATTCTCCAGCATGTCATTCCCCAGCATGCCATTCTCCAGCATGTCATTCCCCGGCATGCCATTGTCTACATGTACATGGACCTGGTTGGAGGGTTACAATCCATAACCATTGGTAAGGACCGCAGCAATATGTACTGCATTTGAGACCGTTTTGTGTTTGGTTATCCGAAAAAAACATCATGACGAGCAGGGGCTGTGAAAACATGGCTTCCCGGTGACTAGCCCTTTTTGGATTTATGGATAATTTAGATACCGGGTAACTAAGTTTGATCTCTCATACAATCATACACCCCTACCCCAAATGATCGAGACCGTTTTGGGTAGAGGTGTATGACTGCCGCTCAGGTGAGAGATGAATAGTCTACAGTGGCGTCTACAGACCCTGAGGAAACTGAATTTCAGTTGCTCTGTAGTCGTTTGAAGCCCAACAGGCCGAGGCATCTGAAGGTTACAGATGGCCACGACTGTACTCAATCTCCCACAGTTGAGCAAGTACTGGTATGTGGCAGTGTTAAACCTGCACTGGATTGCATGCACAGTTTCACCGCGGGCAAGTGAGGAAAAGGCGAGCAGGAGTGAGATGTTTTCAGCTTCGATGCCCATACAACTCACGGTCCTTGAGGCCAGTTTGGAGAATTGAAATGCTTGGATAAGTGAAGTTCTGATAGCAGGTGTTGACTACTACACTTCAAAGTGCCTGATGCTGATGGGATAAGGTCGGCCAGAGGGCATATGTGGTGGAGCCGGGTGGAATTGCTTTATTGTTTTAGCACATGATTGTACCCGTATAATACCACTTGCCAGTGAATGTCCCAAGCTGGCCTACACCGGTAGGTGACTCATGGTCATGTGATCTGAAGTGCCAGGCTTTAGTTCAGCAAAACGTGCATTGGAAAATGGAAATCCACTGTCTACTGGTGACTATGTATGTAACCTGTACTTGTGTAAATTGATTTGAAGTTATTTTTCATTTGGGTTTGAAAACCTTTATTTTGCAAAAGGCATTTTTCTGATTTCTTCTCCGGTGTATGATTTATTGCATTTTAAACCATTGTGTTAATTTGCCCGTAAAAGAGTCCTGTATGTAACCTGTATTTGTGTTACACACACACACACACACACACACACACACACACACACACACACACACACACACACACACACACACACACACACACACACACACACACACACACACACACACGCATGCGCACCCACCCACGCACGCATGCACACGCATGCACGCACGCACACACGCACACGCACGCATAAAATTATATGCATACAGGCGATGAACCTTACACCGGGTTGCCCATGGCAACAGTGAAGCTATGGACGCGGCTACACAGTCCTGTGGATCAAGCATTGCAACTGTACAGAGTGAGTTATTGTGTGGTATGGGGGGGGGGCATTGTGACTGTACAGAGTGAGTCATAGTGTGGTATGGGAGGGGGCGGGGGCATTCTGGATGGCATCACCTGCTAGGGGGACACGCTACAGTCAATATGGTACCACTTTTTGCCTCAGCACTCTCATGGATGATGTAATGAATAATGATGATTTTAACATGGAAAAAATGTGGGCACAAGTTATGCGATCGACATTTTTCGATGTTATAATTTTTTCCTTGGCTTGCCTTCTGATGATTTTGGTTGTATTGTAAATTCCAAGAATTTTATAGGGAGGGCCTCGAAGGCTTACCACAGATAGCTGATTGCACCCAGTGACCCTCGACTACCTTCTTACACCCTGGTTATGTGAAATTCTGGACAGATCCAGGTGATTGTAAAGAGGTCACCACTAGATCAGGGATTGTAAAGAGGTCACCACTAGATCAGGGATTGTATAGAGGTCACCACTGGATCAGGGATTGTATAGAGGTCACCACTGGATCAGGGATTGTATAGAGGTCACCGCTAGATCAGGGATCGTAAAGAGGTCACCACTAGATCAGGGATTGTAAAGAGGTCACCACCAGATCAGGGATTGTATAGAGGTCACCGCTAGATCAGGGATTGTATAGAGGTCACCACTAGATCAGGGATTGTAAAGAGGTCACCACTGGATCAGGGATTGTATAGAGGTCACCACTGGATCAGGGATTGTATAGAGGTCACCACTGGATCAGGGATTGTATAGAGGTCACCGCTAGATCAGGGATTGTATAGAGGTCACCACTAGATCAGGGATTGTAAAGAGGTCACCACTAGATCAGGGATTGTATAGAGGTCACCGCTAGATCAGGGATTGTATAGAGGTCACCACTAGATCAGGGATTGTAAATACGTCGCCACTGGATCAGGGTTTGTATAGAGGTCACCACAGGATCAGGGATGTCATGCTCTTTCTAGGCTAAAGTACTCTTGAAAAGTCATTGTGTGTGCACCATCATTGTGTGTGTGCACCATCATTGTGTGTGTGCACCATCATTGTGTGTGTGCACCATCATTGTGTGTGTGCACCATCATTGTGTGTGTGCACCATCATTGTGTGTGTGCACCATCATTGTGTGTGTGCACCATCATTGTGTGTGTGCACCATCATTGTGTGTGTGCACCATCATTGTGTGTGTGCACCATCATTGTGTGTGTGCACCATCATTGTGTGTGTGCACCATCATTGTGTGTGTGCACCAGTCCACGGCACTGGCGCAAGCAGTTTTAAATGGTCTGGCCATAACATAGCCCTTCACAGAGTGTGCATAACATAGCCCTTCACAGAGTGTGCATAACATAGCCCTTCACACAGTGTGCATGATATAGTGGGTGCTGGCCACCCTATAGCCCTTCACACAGTGTGCATGATATGGTGGGTGCACGAGACAATCTCACGTGTTGGTGGTCAAAAGCTGGTTCGGCCAGGGCCTGATTAACCGGGCCAGTTCCGCCAGGCCTGGTCTAGCCTCTATCTTCTTATTGATCTACAGTAAAACCTGTAACTAACGACCACCCCTTGGGGCCGGAGAAAGCGGTCTTTAGTGGCAGGTGGTCCTTAGTCAGAGGTTTGCACCGCACTACCGTATATGGAATGTGAGACCGTCCGCGCCTGGCAAAGTGGTCTGTAGTACCATGCTGGTCGCTAGTCACGGTGGTCTTTAGTTACAGGTTTACTGTAATAGCAGGCTGGTCGCTAGTCACGGTGGTCTTCAGTTACAGGCTGGTCGCTAGTCACGGTGGTCTTTAGTTACAGGCTGGTCGCTAGTCACGGTGGTCTTTAGTTACAGGCTGGTCGCTAGTCACGGTGGTCTTTAGTTACAGGCTGGTCGCTAGTCACGGTGGTCTTTAGTTACAGGATAGTCGTTAGTCACGGTGGTCTTTAGTTGCAGGCTGGTCGCTAGTCACGGTGGTCTTTAGTACCAGGCTGGTCGCTAGTCACGGTGGTCTTTAGTACCAGGCTGGTCGCTAGTCACGGTGGTCTTTAGTTACAGGCTGGTCGCTAGTCACGGTGGTCTTTAGTTACAGGCTGGTCGCTAGTCACGGTGGTCTTTAGTTACAGGCTGGTCGCTAGTCACGGTGGTCTTTAGTTACAGGCTGGTCGCTAGTCACGGTGGTCTTTAGTTACAGGATAGTCGCTAGTCACGGTGGTCTTTAGTTACAGGCTGGTCGCTAGTCACGGTGGTCTTTAGTTACAGGCTGGTCGCTAGTCACGGTGGTCTTTAGTTACAGGATAGTCGCTAGTCACGGTGGTCTTTAGTTACAGGCTGGTCGCTAGTCACGGTGGTCTTTAGTTACAGGATAGTCGCTAGTCACGGTGGTCTTTAGTTACAGGCTGGTCGCTAGTCACGGTGGTCTTTAGTCACAGGCTGGTCGCTAGTCACGGTGGTCTTTAGTTACAGGTTTCACTGTATTCGATATCCGTGCTGCAGGAGCGTATGAAGGCACTGGGATATGTTTTGGCCAATCAGGCAGCTGAGCAACCAGCTGATGTCGGTGGTGACGTGTTGCCTTCAGATGGCGCTCTAGAGGATATACCCATTGAGCCGTCATCACTGCAGCTGCTGGTCGACAATCAGCTGGAGGTCGTTGTTGTGTCTTGTTCCGGTCTTCTCTCGGGGAAAGCTGGTAAGTGGATTGTGTGCAGTCCAATGCTGCAGACTATGATGTATGGTGACTTGCACTGTTCTCAGTCAGAACGTGAAATTGAAGATTTTTAATGTGATGTGCATAATACTGTAAGTAAACAAATATTCGGCACGTATTTATTTATTTTCGGCTATCTTCGGCCTGGTCATGTTTGGCCGAAAATTTGATGCGGTCAATATTTTGTTTTGCAAAGTTCAGTGTGACAGTGTATACAGGCGGCAGCAGTACAGGCCGAAAATTTGATGCGGCCGAAATGGGTTTTAGCCCTGGGAGGCCGAAATTCGAATGGGCCGAAATGGGTTTTAGCCCTGGGAGGCCGAAATTCGAATGGGCCGAAATGGGTTTTAGCCCTGGGAGGCCGAAATTCGAATGGGCCGAAATGGGTTTTAGCCCTGGGAGTAGGCCTCAGCGGCTAATGCTAGTTTTTTTGGGCAAAAATGCTTTTGGCAATGCTAGTTATTTTGGTTGCTAATGCTAGGTTGAGTGCTCGTTTGCAGCATTAATGCTAGTTTCAGCACCAATAAAAAGGAAAGAAAATGGTGTACAGAAATACTTTTTCGGATGGTCTTGTGTCTAATTTCATTGTAGACACGATCAGATGAAACAGGGCACCATGGTAAATTAAAGATAGAAATGCGATACTAGTAGTCGATACACGGTGGACAATGTCTGGCAACTATCTTCGTGTCCCATTACGGCTTGGGAACTCACAGCTCATGGCCGAGCCGACCACGGTTGTACTGGAGCATGAGCTCCACTTCCAGGCGGTCTGTCAGTGTTGAGGCTTGCTAAGGGTGCACCCTTTGGGGTTTTCTTGAAATAAACTTTTTTGAATTTTTCCACTCGACCATGCTGAAATACGGCCAAAGTCATACCTGCGCAGGAAAGCTCGCCACTCCGCGACGTCTCCTCAGCAATTTCTACTCCAACACTACTCCCAAGGCCGCAGAACAAAGTGTAGTGTTGACTCTGACAAGGAAAAGCAGCGGTGATCACTTGTCACTCCAAACGACAAGCTTCTCCTTGCGCCACCAATAATTTTTTGTGCGACTGTTGAGGCAAAAGTGACTGAAGGCCTGAGCGCAGTTTTTGAATCTTATTGCAAGATGCACGGTGAAATCACGTGCCTTGTGACGCAAGAATGCCAAGTCGCGTGGATCACGGCATGTGTGTAGCGTAGGTTTGGCGCTTCCAAATAGGCACCCTTAAGTGGCCTTAGCATTGAGACGATAACGCTAGCGGTAAACGGTATTTTGACTGTGGCCGGACCAAGAGTACCCATTTTGTTACTGTATGGCATATGTACCCTTGAATCCTGTTGTGCACTTGCTGTGTGCCAGAAGAGGCCCAGACTCCATAATTGGTGCAAACATTACCATATGGGTCATTGCAGCGTATGCCTTGGAAAGGTTTTTAGCCCCCAGGCCCCTTTTAATGCTTTTTACCCCATAAAACCTGCTTGCAATGCTAGAGCAATGCTAGTTTCCAAAAAAGGCCTTTAATGCTACTTTTAATGCTAGCATTAGCCGCTGAGGCCTACCTGGGAGGCCGAAATTCGAATGGGCCGAAATGGGTTTTAGCTCTGGGAGGCCGAAATTCGAATGGGCCGAAATGGGCTTTAGCCCTGGGAGGCCGAAATGGGTTTTAGCCCTGGGAGGCCGAAAATTGAATGGGCCGAAAATTTGTCGACTTACAGTACTGTATGGGTTGCGTTCCCATTCTCGGTGTTCACATCTAACGCCGTCATGACTCATGAGTGTCCCGGTGTTCACACCTGACGCCGTCATGACTCATGAGTGTCCCGGTGGTTTCGGTTGCTCCTAGCTTCACGGTACACCGTTCGCAGTCCAATATGAACTACCCTCAACACAGGTCAGGGGTGTCGGAAGGTATTTTAGTGTGATACGGTCAACCATCTGAAGTACACTTTACTCGTGGGGCAGGGATGGCCGAGCCGAAAAGGTTGAAAATGTAAAAGTCCGGATCAGTGTACAAGTATTTTATTGATTCACGGGGTACCTGGGGCAAAAAGTGGTACGGTCAATGCCGTAGTGACAGTACAGTGTCCGACGCCCCCGCAGGTAATACTGTAGTACCAGTGCTCTCGTAGTATGTACCGGTGAAAGGGAACTATGGTCTCCGAATAATTATGATAGCATTGTGCGTGCATTTACGACTAGAATTCACGAATTGCTAGAGTTACTTGTGTGGTTTTGTAATATTCTCGCTGGGTTTCAGGTCCGCTGCAGAATAACCCTACGATGTGTCACTATCTGACAGGGTTTACTGCCACCACGTATACATGTGTGTGCATATCTCCACTAAGTCCTGTACATACACCATGCATTTTGTAATCAGGTCAACAGCCATCTGCATACGTTGTCTACAAGCTGTGGACTATGCCGGAACACAGCACTAAGACGGTGAACAACTCCAACACGCCGCAGTTCAACGATCGGCAATGCTTCAACTTGCCTGTTGCCACGGAAACCGATGAATTCCTACGATGCCAGGTACTTTGCTAGCACACTGATTTTGTCTTCACAGAATCCTGCTCTCTTCTACAAGAAGTCAAAAGCTTTGCTGCTTGATCCTTGGCCAGTTGCGGCTTTGCGTCATGTGTAGATGTTGCTGTCTGCTCAGTTGTAGTAGCTGTGTTGTCCACACTGGTGTCATTGTGCACGTTGCTGAACCCACAAATTGTGATACAGATTGTAAGGAACCAAAAAAAGGTTATTGTACCATGTCAGCCGGCCATTATCAAGTCATGTACCAATTGTAGTACATGAGGTAATAGTCACACACCTATAAAATAGTATTGCAGGAAAATTGCGAAGCATGCCTTCAAATCCGCAGAGCATGCCAATATTGAATTGTGCACATTGCTGCTCTTGTTGCTGGTACTGGGACTGCTGCTGCTGCTGTAGCCAATGCTCTTGCCATCATTGTCAATCCTGTGCCAGTGTGTGCCGCACAGCGTTGGCAGGATTGGCAGGGCAATGAAAACTTAGTGCGGCATATTG